AGAATGATGGTTGGGTAAAGGAGAAGGAAAGAGAGGTAAACACTTGGTCATTTAGCTGCACAGCTGTGGCAGTGTGTGTGTGTCGGTGTGTGTGTGTGTGTGTGTGAGTGTGTGTGTGTGTGTGTGTGTGTGTGGAGCGGCTACGTTCCTCTGGTATGTGTGCAGGGTTTGTTTGGCTGAAGCCGTTTGTAGCGTGACTTGAAGAGGTGTTAATTTTACAAGGTGTGCTCTGTGATAAAAGCTGCATTTAAGGGAGGCGAGGAGCCGCAAATGTTTTCCCCTTTTACTGAGAAACCACAGCGAAACGGCGTCCGAGATTGAGTGAAAGCGCACTGCTGGCTTAGGTATAAATTTGCGGACGCTTTGCGGTGCAGAGAGGGAGCAAGAGTGGTTCTACAAAAAATCTTGAGCAGGATTGAGAGGCTAACTTTGCCCAAAGCTGCCCATTTAGTGATTTAGAGTTAATTCCTCTGAACGTTCTGGTTGATAGATTTCCCTCTATATGTCCTCTTTCTTTAAACAAACACACGTTCAGCATAGACAAAGTGTTGCCGAGAGGGTACTTCTCATCTGCAAACCACCACCAGGCTGTTCCTTCTTTTTTGCTGATCTGTTAGCACGGGGGTTTGAAGGAACGCACTGTCTCGACCCCTGACCTCCGCTGCTGTCCGCAAATGGCCGCGGGTCACTGAACCAGCACGTTTCCAGGGCCAGCCAGGGCAGCTACACAAGACCGAGACAGAAAAGGATAGAAATAAGACTGATGGCGCGGGGACAGTTACAGCTCTGTACACTGCGGAAACACAGGGAGACGGTGAGAAAAGTCTATATGAAAGAGAAGAGAATAGTGGAGACACAAGGAGGCGGCCGATGTTTCTATTGCGGCGAATGCGAGAGAGATGCTTTTGAGGGAAAACGTGGCACGTCACACAGCTCTGTGTGCTCTGCTGTCACATCCATCAGCTGGGATCTGTCACCGTGTGTCTATAGGCTCATGCTTTTGTGCACTGGTGTGTGTGTGTGTGTGTGTGTGTGTGTGTATGTGCATGATCAATAGAAAGCTGAACGCCAAACACAGGTGTTTCCACGAATGAGGAATCTGCCAGCTGCGACTCTCCTTCAAGACCCGACACAATTACACAATCTTTCTCCAGCTCTTTTGCCTAGAATCTGCATACCTGACATTATTGTGCAAACAGAACAAAGCTACAATTTTGTCCCCAAGATATTTCCCCAACTTTTCTTATGTTTTTATGTTCTGTGGTGCTGACACTATTGCTGTAAGATAGACATTTACTTGTCAGAATGATTTCCGAAGCAAAGTTGTTAAATTGATTTAGTAAAAGGTACTTTGGCTGGTTGTTGGCCAATAGTATTCTTTCCCCCCACCTTTTGTTCCGTGCGTTAAAGAACTCTTGCACTTCTAATGAGAGATCGCAGCTCGTATAAACATGTCTGACACCTGAGTTCTGCTGAGTGAAGGGCCACTCAGTATCAAATGACAATTAACAGCTAAACATTACCCTGGAGTCTTCTCACAGCGAACACCCGATGAACAAATAGTTCCACTATGTTATTGAAAAATACCAAAAAAGTTCACCATCTGGAAGCTGTCAAAGAAGCAGAGGCACATGTTTGATACATACTGTAGACTCGCAAACATTTGTACAGGGGATCCCATTAGGAGGTTTAACTTTTCTTTTTTTTTTAACTGTGGGTCTGTAGTGGCAGATGTAGAGAGCCCAGTGACTTATGACCAACCACAAACAATTCAGGCAACATTTGTTTAACAATGTATGTTCTGAACGCGGACATTCTTGCCTCCTCCGTGTCTCCTTGTGCTGATGTCTTACATGGTGTCTTTTCTGGGTGCTAGACTTTGAGAGCACTTCTACGTGGTGTCAGTTTAGGTTAACAAATCTCTCTAGATGTAAAATCCCACAGCCTGAAGATTCATCACTCTCAGAGGTCTAAGAAGTGAACCTATAACCTCCAAATAATGTCTGCGTGGTGTTGGAAACATTTCTGTAGTGAGCTTTTTGTCTTGTTAAGCAAGTAGTATCATTATGTGTTTCATAGAAGTTCAAGTTAAGTACCACTTAACAGTAAAACTATGCCATCTGGAGATGTAAACTAACTTACAAGCTGCAAAATGTCTTAACATAGTGGGTGATATGCTTCATGGTAGCATATTAGCTGGTTAGTTTATTCCTTTGCTTTAGAATCAATACGTGCCTGATAACTAATCGATACTTTTCCATCAAATATTTAAATATAGATGACAACAAAGATGACCTTTTTGGTGAAATGCCAAAATTCACGTGGTCTGGTGGGTGTGCTCCACTGCAACCATTCTTGCTGGTGTCAGTGGAGGCATCATTTCGTTATCGCTGGTCAGGTTTAGGCTTAAGCTTTTGTTGAGGCCCGGAAATGAGTTCAATGGCTCAATATCACATCACGAATCACCAATCCGTGAATGTCAGTTAATGTCAAAGTGGTGTGAGCTAAATGAATAAGAAGATCTAGCTGTAATCTTGACAGAATCCCAAATAAGGAGATATTTTAGTGGGTGCAGAAAATCCACTTGTATTGAAACTACAAATAGAGAAAGCTTGAAGACTAACATATCTTCTTTGAGTCTGCCATTCTGTTTCTAGATTTCATCCTAAAGCCCATGAATACAATGATATTGGAAGAGGAATGCCCAAACTTGGGGGATTTCAGAGTCCAATTTGGATGCATAATTGTAATGGAAAAGTTTGTATGCCCCCAAACTAAATGAAAATCTACTCTTCTTAATTAGAAAATTTAACAGAGAAGTAATTATAGTTATAAAGGGGAACCAAACCCTCATTTTGCAGACAAAATGTCTTCATTAATCAGAGCTGGACACATGCGGCTTTCTGGTTGAGCATTGCTCCTCCTGGTTGGACCTGTGAGTTGACCATAGAGGTTTTATTCTGGAGTGTGTTTGTGCTTTTATGGACAATCTAAACTGTTCCATGAAAAGAATTCTAATTCTTACGTTTATAATACAAAATTATCACTCAGAAAACTATTCATTATTGTGTAATGGAAACTATGAGCCCTATTCAGTGTTCTATTTGCAGTATTAAGGACAAAAACTATATCTTTCATGCGGGATTCGTTCTTGCCTCATTCTTTGCTTGGTTTTCTGTGAAAATTAAACATTTTAAACCCATTTAATGGCAAGTTAAAAAACAAATGAAAAAGAGAAGCAGACTATACAAAGGTTTTGGGTGTGCCATCAAGTTTATCTTGTTTGTGGGTGCCAGCAGCATCTGACACAACAGTCATTTTAAAATTCATTCATTTATTTTCTGTGGTGACGATACTACTGGTTTTGCTATAGTTTTGTTAGATTCTATTTCCTTCTCAGTCAGTTCATGGCCAGTTAGGTTCATGTTACTGTGTTAAGTATTGTGATGTATCTGATAACCATATTAGCAGTTTAACAAGGCTGAAAGCTTGACTTGGAGGGGAAATCGTACGTTAGTCCAATTGTCAATGTATCATAAAAAAGATTCCACTACATATTTTCTTCAGCAATAAAAAAGCAACATCTTCATAATTTTTTTTTGTAACTGATATATTGTTTCATTAAATTTTAAATGTATGTTAGCTCTGTTTTCACTAAGTAAAATATAGAATGAAAATATAAGCCGTTTATGATGTTTAGTTAAAAATAATAGCTTGTCTAGAAGTTGAGAATGAGAGTTTTTATCTCTCTGTGTAAATTTGCAACTGCATTCTGCTCGAACAGTCCCACAAAGATAAAGATTAAATGAGGGAGTCAAACTTGTCTTAGCAAGTTCATCAAACACTTACCTGGAAATTTTACAAATGCAAATGATAACTCACAACTCAAGATATTTTTCCTCTTCACAGCTGCACCACGCACACATGTGAGTGCATTCTGTAAGAACCAGAGGACATGAGACTCAGTAAAGCATAGATAAGCAAAGGTTAATTTCAACATTATAGATGTTACCGTTACCTTTAACAACCTGTTTAAAACTTGTTTAGATTTTTTTTAAAACATCTAAAATCATGAAAATTGGCAGTTCATTTGAATACTGAGTGTGGTAATTGTGAATGAATAAGCCCACAGTGATGCAACACTTGTATAAAACGATTTGTTGGAGGAAAAACACCCAAGGTTTAGACAGCATGTTCTGCTGTGTGACACTGAACAGACCCTTGTACGGACACACTGATTGACAGCTGCAGGGTAGTTGGGTTTTTGTCCAGAATATTTCCACCTCCATATAAACAGTTCTGCACACACAGACGCATACCCAGACTGTCCATAGGGTCATAAAGCTGTGTGCCAATTTAAATGATGTTGAGGCTTGAATGAACACGATGAGTGACAAGAGAATTGTAGCATTTAAGTGAATGCTTGAGTTTAATGTTCTTTCTATGAAAGCGTGAAATATTTCTCACACTTTCAACCTATGGCAGTGGTGAGCTTATGCGTTGTTAGCGTTCATCACTGTTAAAACAAGCTTACGATTTCTTAAAGGCTCTGACATAAAACAGGTTTTTGCTGTAAAAATGACTACATACCAAGCTGCCCTATTTGCAGAGAAATATTGAAAATCCAATACAAGTACCTGTATAAATAGGGCTTGTGTTCTTTGGCAAAAAACACAAAAAAATTAAGTCCAGCAGCACAATTGTGTCTATGTGTCTTAAACAATAACACTATCTATCATTAAAGCTGTCATTTTTCTGTGTTAAGGAGCAAGACAAAGATATATTCTGTGATCCTCTGATCAAAAATAAGGCTTTCGGCTGCTCCTTCACTTGTTGTATTTTTCTTGTCATTCTCAAAGGAATAATACCCATTTCAGCCACCCATGCTCAGATGTAAACTTTTGCTATTGCCAGATCATCTCTCGACTCTTACAATTCACATCCTGTATGACATCCTTAGTGTCCCCTCCTTTAGTGACTATTTGGATCTTTTCCACCCTTTGACCTTTTCTCAGGTTTCTGGTAATTTTGACATGGCTGTGCCACTGTCTCGTCCAATGAGAGCTGGTCTTTGAAGGAAATCCGCGGAGTTTCCACCGTGACAGAGGCCAGACATGTCAAAGAGTACAGAGGAATGCCAATAACTTTTTTAACAAGAACCGGAGCCATTTTTACCTGCTGGTTAGAAGTTGTGATGTCTTTCTATATCTTTGTCAACAGCGTGAATCTGAGAGGTCTTGGAATTTCCCAGCGGTGGAAAAAAGAATAAAACAGATCAGTTAAATGGACAATGTAGTGTTTTGGGCCACAGAAGACACACTTGTGTATATGTTTTCTGATAAAGAGTAACTTTATAGATTATCAAAAGCACGTATAATACTATAACAATCATAATACTCTAAACAATCATTTATAATGTATCACTCGCACAGAGAAATCAATGAGGCTCTAAATAATACAAGTGTACCAGTTACTAAAAACATAAATCCGATCTGTTAACTGGGATTAATTGAAAAGATATTAAGCATAAACACAATCCTGAGTTTATTAGGTTCAAATATCCAGACATATTTTGGTGTGCAAACACTTATAGGAAAGAAATCCGTCAAAATCTCCAGTAGATCCTATTTTCTGAAAATGCCTTTAGATTGTCGGTCACAGCATTGACCGCCAATCCAAAGGCATTTTATTATACACCAAGAGTGAGATTTCTGTCCTTCGAAATTCTTAGGCTTCTACATAATGATGATGAAAATTACTTGAGAATCAAATGAGGACGTTGATTATCATCATAATAATGAAGAAAAATCTCAATTTTTTATTCTTCCCTATTGTTGAAAGTCCTTGAAATGATGAGCCTTCAAGTTTGAATTAATCAACACCCCATTTAAAAAATATATATTTTCAGTCAGGATTTTTATTGTATGTAAGAAAATACCAGACAATTTGCTGAAGACGTGTTTTGTTATTGCCTGACACAAATACCAACACGTCATTTTTTCAGCACATGAGCGTTTAAAACAATGCGATTAGAGACACCAGTACAATGTCACTTAATGATGAAACATCCTTACAATAATCTTTGTTTTTTGCAAGGAAAAATAATTTAGGATACTCAAAGAGGGACAGAAAATAATCCTGCAAAGATTATACATAAAACCTATACTACTTAGGAACATGTATATTATATAGAAAGTACACCAATGTAAGAAGACACTAGAAGAATTGCTTAGCTGGATACAACTTACAGAAATGTGCAAATATTTTCTAACATTTTTTTTCTGTGAGACAGTGTGAGTGCAATTGTGGTTTAAAAAGAAACCACCATAGCTCTCGGGTTGTTGAAAGAAAATCCAGCAGAGGGAGACAGAGTGGTGCTCTATACTTGGGACCTGTCCCCTTGTCTCTGTGAAGTTGACTGGCACAACAGTTTTTCTAATATTCTCTGATCTTCTTCCCATACAGGCTTTGGCCATGTATTCCCTCCCAGTCCCCCTCATCCCAACTCTGCTACACGTTCTAGTCCTTACATACGTAAGTGGTGGGGCGTACTATGGACACAAACAACATCCCCAACCATACCAGCAAATGCAGCACCTCCAGCACATGGGAATGGGAAAAGGAGGCTTTCCTCAGCAACAGTACCACGGCAAAGAGGTTCCGTATATGCAGTATCCCCACTATAGGAAAGAGCTCCCCCAGATGCCCATGCTAAAAGGAAAAGAAAACACTCGTAAAGGGGGCAACTTTAACGGTGGCCATGACAAAGGTAAGATTATATTACAACAATGAAATATTTAAACATGGCCCATCATGTACCGAAATAATTTAAATGAACTCAGCTTAATCAATATACTAACAATCCATATGAAATCGTTTTGTGGTTTGTTTTGCTGACCAAAAATGTATTTAAAAAGTAATTGCAGATCATTGTGCCTCATGGTCTCTAGAGATAAGATAAACCTATTTATCTACTAATTACCAGCTTGACATATGCTTTTTATGTTACAAATATACTGTTTACATGCATTGTAAAATATATGTATATGTTGTGAAATTTCCGCCGCCTTCTTCTTTTCAAAATCTGCTAAACTACCCACAGAACAGCACTGAAAGAGAGCCAGTCTACTTTGTCCAATACTTCAAGTAGACTCAATAGCTCTAGAAATTGCAACTTCCTCAAGAAATATGTATGTGCTGTGTTCCTTTGAGTAGTTAACCTAAGTATTGTTTTTCTGTTGAACCTGGTAAGCACTCAAGGACTCCTCTGTGGCTCTATATCTTTCCCAGGATGGAAATAGTGTTCAGGTTGTTCATAATCTTCCTGAAATCTCTCCTTTACTTACTTAAATTCAAAATTAGATGACTGTTGCCACACAATTTCATGTATTGGCTAACCAGTTTCCTGAATGGACAATGTTAGTAGGCATGAACACGGCACAATATTTCCTTATATTTAATGATGCTTGTGATTTATATATAAATATCCATATATTACTAACAGGTCAGACAATCACTCAAGGTGTAGAGGGACTTCCCCAAGGAGAACCAGGTCCGGCTGGGCCCCCTGGACCTGATGGGCCTCCAGGACCTCCTGGACCTCCAGGGAATGGACAGCCAGGTCCTGCAGGACGACCTGGACCCCCAGGTCCGCCTGGAATACTTGGAGTAGGGAAACCAGGTTTGCCAGGATTGCCAGGAAAACCAGGGGGAAATGGTGAAGCTGGACCTCAAGGAGAAATGGGTGCCAGGGGTGAAGATGGGCCACCTGGTCAGCCAGGTCCTCAGGGTCCCCCGGGTCCACCTGGACTTCCAGGAATAGGTAAACCAGGGGTTCAGGGATTACCAGGCCAACCAGGGTCTAAAGGAGAGCCAGGTCACAAGGGCTTGCCTGGTTTACCGGGATTACCAGGACCCAAAGGAGACAAAGGCATGGGACTTCCGGGACTACCTGGTCATAAAGGGCTCCCAGGGCTCCCTGGACCTGCGGGCCCAAGAGGGCTCCCTGGTTTTGGGAAACCAGGATTAAATGGGCTACCAGGACCACAGGGGCCACCAGGAGGTAAAGGACATCCTGGAGAACCAGGACCTCCTGGGCCAGCTGGGGAGGGAGGGACGCCTGGTCCACCAGGTCAAGCTGGTCAAGGAAAACCAGGTCAAAATGGCCCACCAGGACAACCAGGTATGCCAGGAGGAAAAGGTCATCCAGGCCCACCAGGTTTGCCAGGAAAACCAGGACTACCTGGATTTGGTAAACCAGGACTCCCAGGACCAAAGGGTGATAAGGGTATGGGTGGGCCACCAGGACCTCCAGGACCTAAAGGGGATAAGGGTCATGGTGGATTACCTGGAATTCTTGGACCCCCTGGACCAAATGGTCAACCTGGTCTTCCTGGACCTATGGGACCCCCAGGAGGTATGGGTGTACCTGGCCCAAAAGGAGACTGTGGAGATGGGGGGCCTAAAGGGTTTGATGGGGCCAAAGGGGATCCTGGTCATCCAGGACTGCCTGGTAAGAATGGTCTGCCAGGAGACCGTGGAGAGCCAGGTTTAAGAGGTCTTCCAGGGCCAAGTGGTCCCAAAGGAGATGAGGGCCACAAAGGTCTACCTGGCATGCCTGGTCCTCCAGGGGCTCCTGGTGCAAAAGGACAAGGTGGACTGCCTGGCAATTTGGGGCCACAAGGTCCTAAAGGAATTCCAGGACTGGATGGGGCAGCAGGACCAATTGGACCCCCTGGTCTTCCTGGGCCTAAAGGAGATAATGGTCCTCCTGGTGCACCAGGGATTGCAGCTAATGGGAATCCAGGTCAACCTGGTCCAACAGGACCTCCAGGAAAAGAGGGACCATCTGGACCCCCTGGACAGTCTGGTCAGCCTGGCCCTCCTGGTCTACCAGGACCACCAGGTGTACCTGGTTTCTCTCCTGAAATGGCTGGAGTCCTCTCTGAAATGGGCCCAGGGCTAGATGGTGTAAAAGCTGGAGGTTATGGTAAGAAGGGCAAGTATGGCGGTAGTGGGTCAGAAATAATGGGTCCAAGTAGTGGTCTGGAAATGCCAGCATTTACTGCTGTGGCGACAACTCCTTTTCCACCTGTGGGGTCTCCAATTGTATTTGAGAAGCTCTTATACAATGGTCGCCAAAATTATGATCCTCAGACAGGAATTTTTACCTGTGACATGCCTGGCATTTATTATTTTGCCTACCACATTCATTGCAAAGGAGCTAATGTGTGGGTGGCTTTGATGAGAAACAATGAGCCAGTGATGTATACTTATGATGAATACAAAAAGGGTTTCTTAGACCAAGCATCAGGGAGTGCAGTATTACCTCTACAATCTGGGGATACAGTTTACATTCAGTTACCTTCAGATCAAGCCTCAGGACATTATGCTGGGCAGTATGTGCATTCCTCTTTTTCTGGATACTTGTTGTATCCAATGTAATAACCAGCATTTCTGGGAGACATAGGCCCAAATGAGAAAGAATAAGGAGCTTATTTTGTATAGTATAAGATATGATCATACATTATCTTAGACTGATATATCATCTGATGTAAACAAAATGTTGATCTCATTAACACAGATGAGATAACACAATTTATATTGTAAAAACTTGTAGCCGTTTGAAATGGGGTCTTTATTCTTTTGAAAAATACAGAAGAATGTTCAAACGACTTATATAATACATCTGGAAATGGCTTCAAATGTATTTTGATATATAAAAGTGCAAGAAATCCTTAAGAGTGCAATGTGTCACTGTGTATAAACACATGAAGAGAGCATGTGCAGTATATGTAAAAGATGACAAAGCAAACCGTACAATACTTACTAGACTGTTGTTACAGTGTCACATTTAGACCCTGCACAACTTCATAATTGGCAGCTAACTCTTGCAGCAGAAATGTGAAAGAAAACACAATGTGCAAAACATGCTAACAAGTTTGTTTTGGAAGGAAACTGTTGTCTATATATGCATGCCTAGCCTTAAATGAGTACAGAATTAGTCTCTCTACATATTAAAGCAGTTGTTTAAAGAATTACCTCTTCAGAAAGACAATGCAGATCACTATGATGTCTGCGCTAATGCAGTTTGTACATGTTTTTTTTGTGTTTCTTTGTGGGGCCATTTTGACATAATTCTTGTCGTGTAACTAGGAGATGACTGAGTTATGAGGAAGGTTTATCGGATTCCAATTTTTGGTGGACTGAATGGACTGTATGGGTGCAACCTAAATTACTTTGAATCACATAAACAAAATTAAACATTCTAAATCCATAGAATACGTGAAATAATTGCACATATTGGGGACACGAGTGACAAGTGATTGACTGTTCCATTTGCTTACATGTACTTTGGAGTGTGAATGTTAAAACTCCAAAATGATCAACAAGGTGCGTAAGTATGTCAATGACTGACTACAGCGTTTGAGTGCTATTAAAAGAGAATTTATCATTTATTTTATTTTTATGTTTTGGTGTTTGCAGAGAGTTTTGTGGGAGTACTGCTGTAAACAATTTTGTGCAAAGGAACTACATATTCTAGAACAATGTACAGAATCTATCTGAACCAATAAAACCACTTATACACAATCACATCATCAATTAAGTCACATAATGCAGCACAGTAGGAAAATAGACACACACCCTGCATGTTAACATGACACGAGCACAAGGAAAAGTTATGCTAGTGCTTGGCTGACTTCATTTCAAGTTAAACGAATGTTTAAAACAAATGGTTAACTCTAATCTCCTTGTTTACTAGTTTGATGCAAAATGTTGTGCTGTAGGTCATAAATTAGGTCACAAACTGTATTAGGACATGAATCAAATTGGAAGTATGTCAGACAATATCCATTTTATCTGAAGTGGGCTATGCATTTATTGAAGTGAAAAAGGATTACCCAATCCATTTACAAGTGAGATAAGAACAGAAGTTTCACTGTGACCTTGATGTGCTTTATTTGCTACAATGCTGTCAGTAGGTTCAAGACCAGTACTGAGCATTGCCATCTTTCCCAAAACACTGATATGTCAGTCATTTTTAAGCAGATCACCTACGTACAATGATGTAAACATAAAGTATGAATACCTTTAAGGAGAAGAGTCATGGTGCTAATATTGTCATTGTAATCAAATAATCTGTGTATTAATGTTCCAAGTTTGTAATGATTGTCTGTTTTTTTAAATAAAATTTGTTTATTTAAAAAAGACTGTCTTTGACATCGTCTTGCCACAGCCTGTCAAAGCCACATTTCTGAAGCTCACACATAAGATTTCCAGATTAATTTATTCATTTGTAAATCAGTTTTTTTCTCCACAGGAAGGGTCCATCCATTCATCTAGTTTCTACACCTGCTTATTCCAAGTAGTGCTAAGATATTTGGGTCATTCATATTTTGGCATGTAACAGGTCAACTTTAAGTGTCTCATGCTTTCAGTCCTGGTGGAACTGGGTATATTTTTAGGCCGTATTATGTAAACATTTTAACAGTAAAACATGAAATAGAACTGATTTCAGAAGTGATTTGTTTATGAATACAGTGCTTCAGAGATCCAGATCGTGTCGTGGACTGGGTGTGTTACGTGAGCCGAGGAGAGATGCTGATGCTGCGCCAGGAGAAGTGGTGCGCATGCGCATAGCCGTTTGCCGTGTTCATCACACATTGTGTTAACCCTTATGCAACCTTTATTACGATTCGCCCGGCCTGAAGTAATAAATATCACAGCAGTGGAGTTTTACGGTAAGCTTAATTCTCGATGTTTTCATATTTTTTTTATCAACGTTGCTGCCAGAGAGACGTTAGCTAAGCGTTCATTATGCTTTTGCTCGAAGGAAATACAGCGGCTAATACCCGTGCTTGCTTCATATCATAGCCCGGTTGATCTGTAAGAAAATCGTCAATCCAGATTTAAATAGCGTTGTACAGTTATGTAATCAACACTTTGCGTTCTAATTGTAGTTACACCTGCCTCTCATACCCATTTTTAATAATAAGATATGGGCAGCTTTAGTAAGCCAAATGTGGTGTGATGATGATGCTTAAATAAAAAAATGGCTCTGCTGTTACTTTTTTCATATAACATAACACAAATCTAGCTGTTTGGATATGATGGTAATTGTAAGATGTAATTCTAAAAAAAAATTGAATAAGCATGTTGTCACTGTTTATCTCAGATATTTAAACAAGTACTTGATGAGATGATGAAAAATAAAAGTCGCAGCTCTCGTTATGTTGTGTCATTTGCTTCAGTTGTTTTAAGGATTGTTTCACCATGACGTCACGTGTTGGTCTAAAAGCTGCCGGTGCCAATGGAAGTGAGTTTAAACCAAGAGAGAGGGCGGCCCCGCATTACCAGATGAGGCAAGTAGCTACATCTATGTCTGATCAGATGTGTGATATGATCTCTGTCACTGAATGGGAAACCTGAGGGTCTGCTTTTTGTTTTGCAGTGCCCCTCTGAAGTCAGAGGTGCGGAAGCTAAACTTGGTCCAGCTTCTGATTTGGCTGCTGGTAGCTGCTCAAGTGGCTGTCAGTCACTTCAAGCTGCTGTCACATGACACTGTGTCCATGCCCTACCAATGGGAATATCCCTACCTGCTCAGCATCATCCCTCTACTCCTGAGCAGTTTCTCACTCCCAAAGAACAATATCAGTTACCTGGTCATATCCATGATCAGCGCGGGACTGTTCTCTGTGGCGCCTCTTATTTATGGAGGAATGGAGATGTTTCCTGTAGCACAGCAGCTCTACCGCCATGGAAAAGCCTACCGCTTCATTTTCGGCTTCTCAGCAGTTACTGTTATGTACCTTATCATGGTGGTTGCTGTTCAAGTGCACGCCTGGCAATTATATTACATGAAGAAACTATTAGACTCGTGGTTCAATGCCACTCAGGAAAAGAAGAAAAAGTAATGGGATGAAAAAATTTACAAGCTGATTTTTTTTCTTTCAAGTTTTACATGAAACTTGTCTTCTATAGGTTAACTTATTCAGTCATCAACACAAACAACAAACATTGCATAACATAATCTAGTATGGAATAACATAATATTGTTTAATTCAATTCTTGCCAACATAGACTTTTAACATCAAAATATATAATTAGATTCCTGTGCACAAAACCAGAAGTTGTCTCAAAGTGACATTTGAAAATGTAACAATTAATGACTTTGCATTCTGCTCATATATTTTTAGTTTGGCTTCTGCTGTTCCCAAAAGAGAAAATTAGGTCATTTATATACATGATCATAGAGGTTCCATATAGTACCATGATTTATCCAGTCTAGACACTAAAGAGTTGGCTTCATAGCAATGAAAGCATTTACTGTTCCAGCATTATTATTTTGCCCAACAAAAACCCATTTCTGTTTGACACTGTATCACATTTGCTTATGATGTCTCATTGTTAAATCTACCTCTTCCTCCTTCCATGTTATCTTGTAAATGCATACCAGCTCTTTAGAAAATAAAAATTATAATTACAATTCATGTCTGCACAGTTACTTTTTAGATATTGATATTTAAGAAAACTACAAGGATCATAACATACATTATTAGCTAAATAAAAAGGCTCTGAAGCATGTTGCAATTTAATGTTTGACAGTTTGGAGGTGTAACAAATGACAAGCTATGAGGAATATATATGAATATATAAACTGTACATACTATGTATTCTATATGTATACTAAACTGAAGTAATCTAAACCCAACCCTAATGCGTGATAAACGCCATAATTAACAGTCGATAACAGTGCACTTTGTTTCTTTCGATCTGCGACTGCGCGGAAGGAATGCCACGTACTGGTTGACGTTGACAATTTGGAGGACACTTCCTGGTGCTGGTCCCCGGGTTGAGCTAGGCTAGTTTACCACTTTTTCACGGTTTGGGGAGACCAGTGAAACACTACGTGGTCAAGTCGTCTGAATCAGGTGAAACACTATTTTGTGCTTTGAGCTGATTTGTTATATTATTTAGATGTTATTACAAAGCGCTGTGTTTGTCATCAATGTATGTCAGATAGGTTGCTGGTTAGCATGCTAAGCATTTAGCGCTAGCTTTCTAATGTGATAGTTGCTACGTAGAGAGCTAAGCTATATTGGTTCTTCCAAACAGGTGTTTGGACTGATTCGTCCAATGTAACATTAGAAATTACTCGCAGATACTGAATTACTTATTTATCATAAGTAGACACACTGACGTATTCTGAAATTCAAGATAAACATGTGCTAATGCACATGACACCGCTTCTTGTTGAGTTGCTAAGTCAAATTAAATAGGGCCTTCCTTTAGTAAAATGTTTCCAATTGTACAATTGGAATTTTTAATGTTGCTGTTGCCACTTAGCCTTTTTAAATTGATATTTTCACCACTGACATGACAGAGGGGATGCGGCCTATCAAACAGACGAGTCCCTTGTACAATCTACACACCCAATGTTCCAGCTCAGTGTCATTTTAAAACGTTTGATTCCAGTTCAGGACAGATTCATCCGAGAGGATCGATCCAGGTGGAAAACGAGTTCCGCCGTCGTCCCTGTTGTATAAACTATATGCTAAACCTTAGCAACTACACAATCCCTAACATCCAGCCAATTATTCATCTGGCGTGGGCAGCCAGAGCATTAGCATTTCTGGAATTAAACCCACAGTAGTATATTGTTTAGCTTTACAACATCAGCTAGTCACGTCATAGTTAATCCAACTGGGGACCAGACACGGACAATCTGCGTCACAGACGGAAGATATTTGCTGCTACAATGCGGACATTGCTCTGCACAGTACACAAATTTTAAAACGTACTCTTGTAAGGATGACTGGGCAGTCGACATGATTATTCAGACACATTCTAGTGTCATCCTGCTTGTCACTATTTTAACTTTTTATACAGTGTTTCCAGGAAGTGGTTTTGTTTTGTTTTTTTGTGTTTCTTTTTTACATAAAGTTTATTTGTATTAAAGATTTGTATACTCCTGAATCATAGTAGTACATTCTAGTGAGCTTTGAGCTATGCACCTGTTTTTAGAATGTTTTATTTTTATTTTTAGATCACACGTAAGTTTTCAGGAAACATAATCAGTCGTGATCAACAGTCTCATCAAGTGTCAACTTGACGCTCTTCCCGAGCTGGGCCTCTTCAGAGGGTTGATAAGTCTATGTACGTGTTCAAAGAAACATTTGACATGTGGCTTTCTTTCCCTGGTCCTCCTAATCTACATGACAGTCTGTAACTACTTTATAACATGCTGCCACTTCACTGGGTCGTGTTTGACCCTTAGACTCTGGAGTCCAGTGAGAGCTCTGATGTGAGCAGCAAGAACGAAAGTCCCACCGAACTTTGCGCTGTGCTTTCATCAGCACAAGAATGCTCAGATAGGGGGAGAGAAGTGGTGATAATCTCGCCAGAGCGCCCTCACTGTCACAACTATATTTTCATCATAAAGGATTCTTACAGCTGACCAGCCCCCCCTCCCGACCTATTAACCTACTTAAAATACACAGAGCCAGTGTCTTTTTGGAGTCCTCATTCTAACAGTCAGTCAAATGATGGTGTAAAGTTACATCTATTAGCTCGCATTTTGCTGTATATATGACCAAAAAGCTAATTATTGGTACATTTAAACTTTTAGTTTTAAAATCTATTTCATATGAAACTTTTTTTCGTATGAAACATACATTTAAAAGCTAAAATTTTCTGGTTGGTCTCTATATTGTTCTTCTTTCCTAAAAATTAACAGTTGTTGCTGCAATTATTTCTGTAGTTTGCAAAGAATCCAATCAGCTGTCAGTCAATAAAGATAGAATAGTGATATAAAAACAGTTTTCCATCTAACCATCAAACTGTTGTGTATATTTTATACTCTTATCTAATCAACTTAGATAGATTTTCCTCTTATGAATAGATGACAAATGTGTCTGAGATTGTCTCTGATGTCTTAGAAAAAAAGAAGGCATTTGTTGCACTACATCGCGTTTTTACATTTTGTTACTTTTTTTTTTGGAGATGAAATTTTGGACTTGTAGAAAGAGGAGAACGAAACCTGAGTAAAGGGCAAGGTTTTTTTTTCTTTATTGCTGTGCTTCTTTGCAAACTGACCTCTGCCTCCCTCAGGTGGTGGGAGCAGAAGAGGTCAGACGGCACCATGAACGGCCAGCTGGACCTGAGCGGGAAGCTGATCATTAAAGCCCAGCTGGGTGACGACATCAGACGCATTCCGATCCACAATGAGGACATCACCTACGACGAGCTGGTGCTGATGATGCAGCGCGTCTTCAGGGGCAAGCTGCAGAGCAACGACGAGGTGACCATTAAATACAAGGATGAAGGTGAGTTCAGAAGCTGGCCCCTTGTCCCGGTTTACTCCCCATGAACCGTTTAGCTCCGGATTTCTTCTAATGTCAGCATTTTGTCTTTGGCCATGACTGGTTTTACAACTGTGTGGCCTCTTTCAGATGATGATCTCATCACCATCTTCGACAGCTCCGACCTCTCCTTTGCAATACAGTGCAGTAGAATTCTCAAGCTGACTTTGTTTGGTAAGACCACATCTTTTTCACACATATTCTCTCAGCTGGATAACAAACCTCCTAGAAGGTTTGTTTTCTTCAGCTGTTGCTGTAGGCAGTCACTGGAGGGCAGTCCCGCTCACACTTCACAGCCCAAAGCTTAGCTCCTCACTGCCAAAATGGAAGTGGTCCGCACTCCCTTCTGACTGTTTCGGGGTGGAATTTCTGGGTCTCCTAGCATTGGTTGAGAAAACAAATAATGACAGGTTGTAAATGGATATTCTCACAAAAGCCTTTTGTACCAGTTACACTGGTCACTAATGATAATTTTAAGCATGTGCCAGCCCAGTTGAGTTAGGAATGCTCCTCATGGAAGAATTAATATCCTCAAATAACCAGTGGGCCTCTCCCTACCGTGGCAGTCCAGGTCTTTTTTGGTTTGGTCTGCAAGTTACAGTGTTGAAATTTAGGGGATTTAACGTGGCTCATTGCCTACAGTACATTAATAGAATATGGTCGTCATCACTGGCCCAAAAGAAATCCTTTAAAAGCACACATCTAACAGTTATATGTTCCCCAATCTTTTGCTGTTTGTGTTTCACATAAGAGTTTTCCAAAATTGTTAATATTGAGTTTGTTTCCTCGCAATTTGCCCAATCATAATGTCTGTGGTCTGTTTTCAAGCCAGTTGTGTTAATAGGCTGACAGCTGACAGACTCAAAATAGATATTTTTTCAGTGTATATATATGCATTAATCTTTAAAAAAAAAGAAAAAATCTGACAGCCTACATCATCCTCTCAGACACTGACCTCCATTGTTTTACTCTTTTTTTTTTTTCTTTCTCTTTTTTTTAGTCAGTCAGTCAGTTTACATGGAAAAGATGAGGGTTAAACGAGGTTTTACGGATACAACTATCCTGTGTCCCCTGCTTATTGATGGGTTTCTCATATCCATTGTCAGTAAAATACTGAGCTGGCTGAGTGTGCTGATGATGACAGAATTTCCCCTTCCACTGCCGGTCTGGGTATTGTTGTGAGCGGCTTTGTGCAATCAACCGCCCGAGAAATAATCCCAGTAATCCCACATACGCGGTATACAGAGATCATTGAGCTGGGCCTGCTCATCATTCATAGTTACTGCGTACAGAGTGGGTAAAACACTATTCCAAGCTCAGATGTGTAGATTAGATCACTGTGAAGAGTCCAAAAGTGATTTTTGGACCACAGGGACGTTTTTGTAGGAGGCCAGTGTTCTTGTTTGTTATCTGCACCACTCTTTCAGTATGAGCTACACTCTCTGGGATTGAGCAACAGAGGCTACCATTACCATTAAAAGAAGGGAAACAAGCTTGAGAACAGCTAAATATCACCTATCCAAACATTTTTCAGGCTTTACTGAGATTCTCATATTGTGTTATTTCTTCTTTGAGTCGACCAGCCAACTTCTCTGTAGAGAATTCACACCAGCAAACCTCCTCTCTGTCATGTCGCCCCGCAGTGAATGGCCAGCCGCGGCCTTTGGAATCCAGTCAGGTGAAGTACCTGCGCCGGGAGCTAATCGAGCTCAGGAACAAAGTCAACAACCTCCTGGACAGCCTGGAGCCCCCCACAGAGCCCGGTCTGGCTGCTACAGCACCAGAAAGCGGTAAGCATCTCCATGCCCGTGAATTAGACGCACACAAAAAGCCCAGAGGAAGACGTGATTGTCAGTGGTATGATATGTCCTGTTGTTTATGTGGTTTTGGTTCTATTTAGCTATGTAGGTTATGGCTCTTACCAAAGTAGAAGCACATGATCTCCATAACAAATCATTTAGTTCATATTCCACATATCTTGCAGCCAGCATTATTACAGCCGGTCCCACACAGATGCTGGCAGCAGACTGAGACAGTTTGTAAGAGGCCGTCACCGTTGGAGTCGTTTAACGCATTTTAATAGAAGATTTGTCTGCACTTAAACCCCCTAAATTTGTAACAAACTCGTTCAGGCCGGTCCGGTTGCGGTCGCAGTCGCCCACATGCGTGCATGGCAGGCAGAAAGCGGCCCTCCCTCTTCATCACAGCAGCGAGCAGAGCTGCTCTGTTGTCGCAAGCTGTCAGCTGCATGGTGCTTCAGGCGCCTTCTGAATTCCTGGTGGTCTCTTGCTAAACATGCGCTCGGGAGGTTGCCATTCTTCCATGAGTAAATTAGAATCAATCAAAAGGGGGGGGAAAAAGGTGGATTTCTAAATCAAATTTCAGAGAAAAAGCATGTTTGGAGGCTTTGGTAATGAAAATAGTTTGCTAGAATCATTTAGACCCCCGTGCCCTTATATGGCCCGTGATGTGGTACAATAACAAGACCGATAGAAATCTACCCAAAAACTTGGACGTTCTTTTCATATTTCCCTTTCCCTTTTTGCGGAGACGCTTTGACCTCATTCCTGGACATCTTTTTCTTTCTTTCTTTCTTTCTTTCTGGAATTCTTTCTTTCCCAGAAACAGTGGATGGACGTGAAGGCAAAGTTATGGCAGTTGACCCCACAGTCAAACAGGTCACCCCAGTCAGTGCCGCCAGCATGTCAGCCTTTGACCCCTTAAAAAACCAAGACGAGGTCAACAAGAATGTCATCTCGGCCTTCGGCCTGAGCGAGGACCAGGGCCCAGGTACTGTCCACCCCCACCCCCAAAATAACTCCAGGGAGTTAAAATAAGGATGGCTGCTTTTAGCATTTTTTCCAAAAATGTCATCGTTCATCTGTCAGATAACGATGAAAAGACATCTTTTCTCTTGCTTCCTTCTAAAGGAGCCGCTCAAGCCGTCGCTCCAGAGGAACGCTCCGGAACCCCCGACAGCATTGCCTCCTCCTCCTCTGCAGCACCTCAGCCAGGAGTGCCCCCCCAGACACAGGCTGCCTACGGAGTGCAGCAGGCACCTGCAGCTGGAATGGACGGTAAGACGCTTCCCCAAAAGGGGTGGAAGGCTCCGTTTCTGTGGCTGAATTGGGGAAAATTGGAGATTTCTGCTGCCAAAGAAGCCTCACCAATACTGCATCCAGCTGGTTTGGCACTTTCAGCTAAAAGTAGGCCTTTTTTAAGCTTTACAGTCGGTTTGACTGGTGCTGGTGGTCTGGATTGGTTTTATTATAGTACAGTGGAAAAAGACCCAGTGATTTCCTCAGTTTGTTTTTTTTTTGTTATTTTTTTATATTTGCTTTCTTGCTTTCCTAATTATTTGCTGCCATCGTTCACTGTGCGTACATCTAAATTAGTTGCACACACAGTATTTGCGTGTGAACTAGCAAAACAGAGCGTTCCTGGGTTCTATTATTCATTGGATTTGATTGAATTATTTGCCGTTTGTTACTCGCTGAGCTCCCCCCACTCGCGATTCCTGCCGATGATCCATTATAGATTAGGCTTGTGACGTATTAATGAACTGAAAGGATATTGTTTGGACCTGAACGGACTAAATGGAGAACAACCAAGACAAATAATCTGTGAGTAATAAGAGTGGAAAATAACAAATTGAGGTTGTTTTACAGATAATAGCGCACTGTGTCTTAATTCCAGTTTTGCTGACATGTGTTCAATCTCATTATTCAAACATAACCACGTGTATTGTAAGCCTGGGGGGGGGGGTTGAATGAGGAATTACCAGAAAACTCAGTGTAAACAAGAGTACCCATAAAAGGTAACATTTATCTGGCTCAGTAAATGTTTTTATCAGTTCTCTGTCTTAAATCCAAAGTTTGGTCCAAAATTAAGGCCTGGAGGCCTAAACATGGATGAAGAAAATATGGGGTGGTGGGGTAGGGGGGCAGGATTTATAAAAACAACTGTCTCAGCACAGCTGCAGGATCCATCTCAGCGGGTGTTCTCATACTCTTCTTGTTTTTTTTCTTCTCCTAAATCCTAATTAAAAGCTCATCACTTAATGCTGTTTTGCTAGACTCTTTCTGTTTTGGAGAAAAGCCCAAGCAGGTGCAGCAACAGAGGGGAACCCGTCCCAATCCTTTTATATTTGTTTGTTCTGGTCCTTTCAACTTCACTCTCCCGCCGCTCCCTCTGAGGGTTGTAACGTCCACTCCGGCCCGCTCCAGGCTGACCACAGCTGACCACACCTGCAGCCCTGCAGGACCAGCACACGTGTCCTATGACGACTTCCTTTTAACTGGTGGTTTGTGGTTTGGCCTGTCCACTTGGCCTAACATAGCAGGTCCAGAAGGAGGGCTTTTGTAGCCACGGGGTCAGCCAGTAACACTCTGTTTCACAGACGTGGCCAACACACAGAGCTGTGTGTTGGAAGAACTTGGCAGGAGATTTGCCAAGTAACCAGTTCATACTCGGCTTATGTGTGTTCGGTTATCAGGATGTGGTTGGACGAGGTGGTCAGTGCTCTTAAAAATAAAAATAAAAAACCCTGATCTAGCTTTTGGGCTTAGATCTTTTCTCAAGTTGTCTGAAAACCTCCTGATGTTTGACAGGGATTTAACTGCAGCCACTAAAAGCTAAGTAAGACTTCCCTCGTTCTGCACTGAGCTGCTCTCTGACCTCCTGGTAAATATAGAGCAAAATGATTATTTACTAAAGCAGGCCAGTCAAGAGCAAGTGTTACACATGGTTCGTTGGCAGCCGTGGTCGGATAAACCCTCCGAATCTCGTTCTCAGATATATTTCGAGCCCAGCTTGACAACATGTAGTTTGTCTCCTTATCTGTTCCCTGGTATTGCTCTCATTTTCAAGGCTGCAGACGGTTGGCACGCAAAGAAAGTAAGCAGGCTCTGCACGATCCCCTTTCCCACTCTGCGGCTTCTTCACATGTGTTACTCTGCGGGCCTGTTAACTGTTTAACTGTCATCCTGTGGGGCAAATCAAACCAGCCTCCCCACGCACAATATTTTCTAAAAGGGTAAATGTGCGCGGTGGGGTGCCAGCTTAAGCATATGTGGCTTTTTAAAGGTAGCCCTCAGGTCAGTTCTAGTATGTTTGCATGAGAATGCAGCTAACAAGAGCCATAAGCGGATGGTAAAGATTTCACCATGTTGTCGGAGGCTGATTGACCCGTGGCAATCATTTACATCTGCACCAGAAAGAAACTGTAAAACCCTTGGGGATCTCTTTCAGAGTAACAGATGCTTGGTGTGAAAATGTTCATGTTAGTAAAGGACTCTCCACCCACTACTAACTGCTCTTCATGAACCCCAAGTCGTTTTTTTTCTTCTTTTTTTTTGGGGTCCCCAAATGTTGACCTTTTGACTACATCAGAGTGAAATGAACTCCAGGACCTGACGTCCAACAGCCGTCCTTCCGTCACTATTGCGCAACGCTGGTGATTGATCACAGGTGGAGAAAAATAAGAGAGGAAACCAATTTCACACACATGCCTCCCCTCACAATAAAGACCAGAGCGATCATGTTAAAGAAGATAGCAGATGACTGCCACATCAGATCCCAGCGTAGATGACTCCAGAGTTTAAAGGCCAAGAGTCTGCAAGCACCTCTTTAAGAACGGGCAAATTCACAGGTTTTCTCTCAGCTATGCCATTTTTTTGTTCACTTAATTCTGGAGAACTTGATGTCGTTCTACCAAGCTGTGACCCAAGAGTTTTCACAGAGCTCCTAAAGCCTTTTTTGTTTTGATTTTTCTTCATTTTGGAGAACTTGATATTGTTCTCCTAAGCTGTGAAACACCCAACAATTTTTTACAGTTGAATCTCCCCCCCTTTTTTTTTTCAGTTTTTTCCCCCTCTCAAGGTCTAGGCTCAATTCCGCTCTCTTTATCACCAGAGTTCTGTGCCAGTTTAGAGATTTTGGCGCAAGATTATGGCCTTGAGAAAGGGACAGCACTATTTATTTATTTATAATATTTATATGCTTACACATTCAGTGGAAAATCTGACAAAGAGGTTAAAATCATTGCAGGAAAATGTTTTCTTTCCCCTTGTTATTCTTTTCTTTAAGCACAAAGTTTGAAACTGTGTCGCCGTCGAGCAAAAGTGAAAAACCCTCCTCCGATGGTCATCTGCTGCCCTCGGAGAATGACGCATTCCTGTGTGGAGCTCCGCTCAGAGAGTCGTCCTTAAACTGAGTGCAGTGGCAGATGTGACCGGTCACCCCTCCCGTCTGTGGCACAATGATGTCACGGCCAGTCGTGGGCCTCGGGAAGCCCCTGTCTGCGGAGACGGGTGCGGCCCGCGGGGGGAATTTCATGTCTGTCGTCCTTCACGTGCCAGAAAAAAAGGGATCTGTTGACGATTACCAGCAACAGAGAGTTGTATCAAAGCGTTTGCAGCTGCTTCCATCGCAGAGGTTATGTAATACCCAGTCCAGATGGACAGGTGTTTCCATGAAGAAACCCATCTACGCTTAGTCTCGCTTGTGTCTGGGGCATATCAGATACTATCACTTTTTTTTTTTTTTTAAAGAAGTAGACAGATCAACTGAGAGACTTTAAAGACATGTCCAGCTCTCCTTTTTTTCACTTCACAGATTGAGTAGATGAGCGGGGTTTGCACAGCTAAATCCACCGTCCAGTGTTCTAGATTTTCTCCAAAAAGGCTCAGAGAGTTGTCCGATCCTGATCAGTGTAGCCGCTGAATGATCCCTCGGGGTTGGGGGCAGCGTGGGGCAATAAAACCTGCGTCCTGCCTGTTGTCCATTAATGTGATTTATGGAGTATGCTTGGGTTGTTTTACGGTCAGTTGTTGGCCAGCTAGCCGTTCTTACCAAGTCTTAATTATTGAGACTAAAAGGTCTTAAATCCCACGGTGTGGTCTCTAGCTCTTGGCCTGATGCAGAACCGAGAGGGGTTTTATTTTATTTTTTTTATGGTTCCCCGAAAAGTACAGTCGCTTTTGTTATCCGACCGACCTAGAACTGTAAAGTGGAATGTCTTGCTTCGCGTCTGAAATTGATGCAAAATGCTTCATCTGATACTTGGGTTTCTGACCATGCTTGTTTTTCTACTTTTTCAGGCCAGGTGTACCAGCAGTACCAGGCCCCCGGTGGGTACCCGCCTCAGCAGCCCGGCGGCCCGCCGCAGCCTCAGTACGGGATGCAGTACCCCGGTAAGCATAACGGAAGTCAGGATTTGAGAAGAAAATGGATTTCGCTTCATTCGTTGAACGAGTGACTAAGCGTCCGTCCCCTCTCAGCAGGATACAGCCCCCAGCCCGGAGCCCCTCAGCCCGGCCCCCCGCAGCCACAGCAGCAGCAGCAGCAGTTTCAGAACTACCCTCCCCCCTCCTCCCAGGCCCCAGCCCCAGCCCCAGCCCCCGGCCCGGCCCCCACTCCCGGCTTCCAGGGAGGGCAGCAGCAGCCCCATCCTTCTCACGGAGGCCAGCAGTACCCTCCCGGGGCCTTCCCTCCCCAAAACTATACCTCCCAGGCCACCCAGCCTGCCAACTACAGCATGCCGCCCAGCTCCCAGCCCGCCTCGGGGTACCAGGCCCGCCCGGGATACACGCCGCCCCCCGGCAACACCGTCACCCCTCCGCCCGGAGCCGCAAACCCCTACGCCCGCAATCGGCCCCCGTACGGGCAGGGCTACACCCAGCCAGGCCCCGGGTACCGGTAAAAAGAGAAACGAGGACTGGTGCCACTGATCCTCACACAGCCCTGAAACCCCCACCCCGTAACCCTACATGTGGCTTCAACTGTTCGGAGTGGGAGTAGCTATCAGGTCTGCTGCTCTGCCACCCTCCTCCTCCTCCCCCTCCTCCTCCTCGTACAAATGTCAAATCCAAACAAGCAACAAAGCGACCCCCTCCCAGTCTGATGGTTAGTGTCTGTACGCCTCGTCTCCAGCACGCTTTTCTTTTCTGGCCCCGGTGTGTAATCCCTGTGTTATATCTTTTTTTCATTTTGTCCCTTCCTCTTCTTCTCCTGCCATTTCATCTGGCTGCTCCCCCCCCCCCCCCCCCCGTATCTGTCGTAACAATGTAACCAGTCTGGAACACCAAAACAGGCTATCGCACAAACCCGTTTAACGGCCTTTTCATGGTAAGGTTTTTATCTCCCCGAATGAGATCAGATCCATTCTCAGACAGCAGTGAGTTAACTCCGCACCTGCGCATCCTTAAGACACTATCACAAAGATCCCTTTTTTCTTATGTTTGTGTTTTGTTTGTGTTTTTTTCTTTACCGGATAAGTTTCACCACCATGTCTGTGTTAATAGTGTGTTGATGAAGCCGCCCCCTGCTGGGAACACTAGCTAAGTGATGGCTGACGGGAGGCGTAGATCTCTGTGTCGTGAAGATGGCCACTTTCGTTTAGCTTCTTTCTCTTTATCACCTCCAGTACATCTTGCTATTAGTTTCTCTCTTTATCTTATCATTGGTTTTTACTAATATATCAAATTCCACCCTCAAAGGAGATTAGTTGTTTATGTATAAACTGTAACATTTTTTTTTTTGAACCTAATAAATGATTGAGACTGAATTTGAGTCTTTTTTTTTTCTTATTATCTTTCTCTTTGTACTTTTTTTTCCTTTTATGTCAGTTGAGTTCATGTCTGTTGGAATTGGCTCGTCTCATCCACCCGATCTGGAAAACTGAGGTAATACTGGTATTCCCACTTTCTTTTTCTGCCTGAGTTTTGGTTGGCAGGGTCATGTGTCTTTGGAGTATGTGGTTGGTCTCATTTCTCTCAAGTGAGAGGAATTAAACTTGTGTGGCTATTATTGCTGATTTAGAGGTCTGTGTGTGTGTGTTTGTGTGTGTTTGGCTATTTAAATCTTTTGAGTTTTTGTCCACTAAATAGAGAAGCATTATTGACTGGTCAGTGATTGTTTGTGAATATATTACAATTGGGACAAATCGGCCTCAGCAGATATTATTGCCAATATTATGATAAATACATATTTTGTAATGCAAACTATTACTACTTCTCTATCAAAATACCTTCTTTTTTTAGATTTTGTTAGCTCTAGTGGCCTTTAATGACAGTAGCTTGACAGGAAGGGGGGCAGAGATAGAGAGGGGGAGAAAACAAATGACATTAGTAGTTTTGTAAAAATACACTGAGTTACCTATTGAGAGCCCACAGGCACTGGGCTCACCCTAACCAGCCTCAGCTGGAAGAACAGGTTTCATATGTAAAAGTTTCTGTACTTTACCTACAGTTAAATAAGAGTGCATAGAGCCAGTGAAAATTTGAATACATTTTTACAGCTCTTTCTTATTCATGATGGAGCCCAACAAACTAAGGAGAAAAAATATATGTTTATGTTTATGCATTTGGCAGACGCTTTTATCCAAAGCGACTTACAGAGTAGACACAATATTACATTTCTCATCACTATGACAATAAGCTATATAGAGGAGAAACACTGATCAGAGTCAGTGGTGACAGCAAGAGAAAGAGGTAGAGGGACTACAGAAGGAGTTGTGGGGGGGATAGAGGTACGGGTTAGGATTAGGATGCGGAGATGCGGAGATTAGGATTAGGAGATGCTCTTTGAAGAGATGGGTCTTCAAGAGTTTCTTGAAGACGGACTCTGCTGTTCTTGTGGTGCTTGGTAGGTCGTTCCACCATCTTGGAACGACACATGCAACGACACATTGTCTTAAGCGTGGTGAAGGCACTGCTAGACGACAATCCATTGATGACCGGAGTGATCAAGTTGTGACTTAAGCCTTTGCAAGAGGATTCAAGTAGATGCACTTTGTAGGCTAGCATCAGGGACTTGAATTTGATACGGGCAGCCAGAGGTAACCAGTAGAGTTCAATGAACAGAGGGGTGACGTGAGATCTTTTGGGCTGATTAAAGACCAGACGCGCCGCCGCGTTCTGAATCATTTGTAAAGGTTTTACTGTACAGGCTGGGAGACCAGTCAGGAGTGCGTTGCAATAGTCAAGGCGGGAGATGACCATAAACTGCACCAGGAGCTGGGTAGCATGTTGTGTTAGGTACGGCCGGATCTTTCTTATGTTTAGTAATGCGAAGCGACAGGATCGAGAAACAGAGGCAACGTGATCTTTAAAGGTCAGCTGGTCATCAATCATGACACCCAAGTTTCTTGCTGCCTTTGATGGAGTCAGAGAGAGGGATTCAGTTTGGATTGTGGTGAATAGTTGGTTTGGCTGGAAAGACAAGCAGTTCAGTTTTTGAGAGATTCAGCTGGAGGTGGTGGGCTTTCATCCATTTTGATATGTCAGAGAGACAGTCTGAGATGCGTGCTGAGACCGAGTGGTCATCAGGTGGGAATGACAGATAGAGCTGTGTATCATCAGCATAGCAGTGGTTGGAGAAACCATGTGATTGAATGATCTGGGCCAAAGAAGTGGTATATATAGCAAAGAGAAGAGGTCCAAGTACTGAACCTTGAGGAATCCCTGTGGCGAGGTGGTGCGCTGCAGAAGTGTGACCAAGCCAGGATACTTTAAATGATCGACCAGTGAGTTACGATTCATACCAGGAGTGTGCTCTCCCTGTGATGCCCATACTCGAGAGTATAGATGTCATGATTGACTGTGTCAAATGCGGCTGATAAGTCAAGAAGGATAAGTACTGAGGAGTTGGCATTGGCTCTTGTCTCTTTTAAGACTTCTGTCACAGACAACAGAGCCGTTTCAGTGGAGTGGCCACTTTTAAACCCAGATTGATTTGTATCAAGGAGTTTGTTTTGTGAAAGGTAGTCTGTGACCTGCTTAAAGACTGCCCTTTCAATGGTCTTTGACAGAAATGGAAGCAGAGAAACCGGCCGATAGTTTCCACCTGAGTTGGTGGGAGAGAGGGTTTTTTGAGCAGCGGTGTGACCAAAGCTTGCTTGTATGAGCTAGGAAATGTGCCAGATGTCAGCGAAGCATTGATCACATGTGTGACTGCTGCAGTTACTGTAGGAGCTATGGACTGGAGTAAGTTTGTAGGAACTGGGTCCAGCAGGCATGTAGTAGGACGGCTACATGTGAGAAGTTTGGACACATTGCTCTCAGTGAGAGAAGCGAAAGAGGAGAACAAAGCTGTAGGACTTCAGCTTGTATATGTACTGTGAGAAGTTTTATGTGCAAGCTGTTCAGTAAACTGTTTGCTTATAGCTGCCACTTTTTCAGTAAAAAATGAGGCGAACGAGTCTGCCGTTAAGCTAGTAACAGATGGCGGAGGAGGAGGGTTAAGCAGAGTTTTGAAGATGGAGAATAATTTTCGAGTGTCAGTTGTACTGTGAATCTTATCAGTATAGAAAGTCTTTTTTGCATCAGTGATGCTTAAAGAGAATGCAGACAGCAGTGCCTGAAATTTTGTTAGATCATCTGGATTTTTTTATTTGTGCAATTTCAAATGTAATGGTTGGGACTAATTAAAAGCTGTTGCTTTTTCATGCCATTCACTAACTTGGTTCAGATGTGATGTAGGAGTTTGAGCACCTGGGATTAAAATATGTAAAGTCAAAACATGGATCACATTCACAGACACACACACATACATATATATATGTATGTGTGTGTGTTGTGTGCGTGTCACATATCCTGAAAAGGAAATATGGACATTATAAATCAAAAAGTTCATCATTTGGAAATACCTTGAAGAAAATAAACCAACATCTGGATGAATTGTTTCACATAAAGGAAACCGATAGTAAATATAAAAACAAGATTTATTGCTGACAACATACATGATACATCACACAAGTGCAGACATGACAGATGGGGGGGGTACAACAGGTTCTATGTACATTATGCACGCTTCAACTCCAATGATCTCCTTTCTACAATGAAGCTTACATTTTAGTTTTTATTTATAAATCATTTTTCCACGTGGCCTCACTAAGATGTTCTAGACATGTCCAGCTATGGCAATTTTCTCTTTTAGCTGAAAAATGTATTCAACCCCATGATCCTTTGAAAACTGTATTTTTACACCATATACATATACAAACGTTTAATATTGTGCAAACGGCAACTGTTTATTTATCCCTTAAGGCCGGCAGAAGGTCAATTCTGCTTGTCTGTGTTGAGGGGGGGGGTTGCATATACATGAGACTAGGACTAGTATCTTTCTCTTTACACATGAATGTCGTGTGCCCTCACTGATAAACAAAAGCCAGAATGGTTTTCCCACCGCCTTCGACATCTGAGTGCACACAAAGATTATCCATTAACGACCCTTTGATAAATAGTATCATACAAGTTATTACACTTTGGGAGCCAGCTTCCCAACATCATCTCTGGGATTATTCCTGTATATTTATTTCGCACTGGTTTCGTTCCAACCCTTCATCTGGTGGGACATTTTCTTTTGATAAATAGAGAAATGAGATTGCTGCAAATGACACCCTTTGGTCCTTTACAGGTTTGCACCTGGGATGGTTGGGAGAGTTCAAACAGATAGAGCCATCTGCGGTGTCTGTGGTAGTCCAGAAGAAAATGGCAGGCATCCCAACTTTTTTTTCTCACCACAGAGAAGTTCATCCACCCAGGCATCCTCTGGAGGTCTCACCACTTCCCGGGTATGGGCGTGCCACACTCATACCAGCCTACGTATGTTGCATGCGACTTTCCTCCAATCTCTCCGAAGCTGACTGGTTCCTGTCTCATGGCTCTGAAGAACCCTGAGGAGCAGACAGAGGGGAGATGAGCGCCCTCTTCTAAAGCACGCACAAGGCTCGGGGGCAAGTCATCAAACGTACCCGTTCTGCTTGGAAGCTGGTCGGCCAACATCTGGGTTCCAGTTCGACCGTCCAAGAAGGAGTCCACAAACTGACAGTGGTCCTCACCGTGCCCCGTCTGGTCTCCTATGTTGTAAAACTTCCCTAGAATGAGAGAAAAGAGGAGGTTGGGATAATGGCATTGGTTTGATAGGTCAAACTGTCACAACCTGGTTCATATTTCACAATCAGCTTTTCTGAGACGTCAGTTTTTTCAAAGTATTTAATGAAAAAGATTCTCATATATATTCAGTATCGGTGATGTCTGCGTAAGTACCAGTGAGCGAATCGCTCAGGTAGATCTTGTATCTCAGGGAGTTGCAGAGCTGGATTCCCACAAACTTTCGGTACCAGGTCCTCTTCACGTACTGCTTCCCGTTGCATTCAGAGTAAGCATCTGATTTAAAGGGAAACTGAGTCCAGATGGCATCTTTACCTGGGGTGGAAACAAGACCTTAACATACCACGTATACAGTATACATGAAAATATCTTCAACAGATGGAATGCTCGGATAGGGAGTGCAGAATATTCACCCGAGGCGTGCTCGCTCACACGTGGATCCGCTGCAAGCCCAAAGGAGAGTTGCAATGAATAACATCATCGAAACAGCTTGGGATAAACACACTGTGATGAAACGCTACACCAGACAAACCCTTACTTGTGTCCGAGCCGATTTGGATTTGTACTGTCGGGGGTTTCGACTCCAAAATTCTAGGCTTTGATTGCACAAGGGCCTTCTAATCACAGCAGTCTCCTTACAGCAATGTGATTTAAAGTTAAAACACAAGGACTGCTCCACATAAGGACTTACTTCAGCTGCTTTCTGAGCAGGCTGATTACCAGGTGTGAGATGTTAGGAACTAGCCTCTGAGGGCGTCTGCTGAACTCAGAAAACCCTCAAGTCTTAGTCAGCACTCTGTGAAAATCATTACTTCTAATCACTGTCTTATGATCTATTAAAAAAACGTGGCCTCAACATGCAAAAGTTAGACTATTTTTCAGGCGCAATCACCTCAGAAGAGGTGACCGATGAGAGCAAATGCTTTGGGGAAACTTGCCTGACTCTGTGCTAAAGGTCACGGGGTCACTGGAGGGTCCACTTCCAAGCTCATTCTTTGGCGTCACTTTGAACTCATAACTGAAATGAAAAGGAATGTTGACAGCGGTGAATTTGACACATGTGAAGAAGAACAGAAATAAAATGGCATAATCTGAACTTTGAGTAGCTCTTCGTCTAAATTGCCAGACCCGTGGAATGCTGGCTATTTAATGTCTTTGACAGCTAAGCATGGGTTCACACTCGCGCTCATACGCACACACAAACATGCACACAGAGAGTTGATGGTTATTCCACGTGCTGCGTTCAGATGTGCTGGCAATAGCCCGGGGGGAGGGGTTCTGCTGAGCCCAGAGACTCCAGATGCTGAGATCTAATTAAAAACTCAGCGACCCGCTCCACCTCCGCCCAAATTTCTTCAACATTCGTGTAATTCTGTCCATTTTTCTGTGTGCAAAACCAATGGGATTAATTACATCAGCTGCCAGAGTTCCTGTGAATCCAAAGACAAACTCAAGTAGAGCGCTGACTATTCTGCTGACGTCACTTTCCTGATTAGATCAACAGTGAGCCGTGACAATGCTATCGAAGCAACTAGTTTTCGTCCAGCTAAGAATTAACATCAACAGCCTCAACAGTATGTGTTGGTGCTGGTTCATCCAAAAGTCTGTGAGTGGCCGGGGGATGGGTGAGATGCTCCAGCAGGTTTGGGTTTGCATACCTGCTTTCTGGTGTGAGATTCTCCACAGCTGTGTGTGTCTGGTTGGTGGTCAGTATGGAGACCTCCTGTCCATTTGGTCCAGTGGTAGTTGAGACAACTTCATACTCTGGCAAATGAAACAGAGTAAATCATAGTTACAGGGTTTTAACAGTTTTTTGTTCATTTATAACATTTACCTATAGACATAGGTATAAATAAAAATTTGGTATCAGTAATTGGGAAAATCTCATATTGTCACAGCCCTCCTTATAGGTTTACATAAATGACCATAATCAATCAGAAATTGGTGCTAAAGCTTATTGAAACATGATACCGGTGGGCCGGAGTTTCACAAAAAATGGCTTTGTACCATAACTAGCCTTTCAGATGAATGTTCTCTACCTGTGGTTTCGTTATCTGTTTTCTCCCAGTCGAGGATCACGAAGGATGGGCAGCCCTCCACTGTGACCACGGTGAGGTTGGACGGGGCTGTGCGAGGGGGGCCCGTCACATTCTGATCGCTGAATTCATCATCCGGAAAGTAGGCAAGAGAAGAGGTGATGGAGCAGGGCTCGTCCGGTTTCTTATCCGTCTTGTAGATGACGTGTGGAGCTGTAGGCAGACGCGGCATATGAGTACCGCATGGTGTGGATAAAATCAGGGCGAATCTGCCGCAAAACAACCCTGCTGAGGACTTACCCACAAAGCGCTTCTTTCCCATGATGTCTACCTCTGATGCAGGCAAGGGCCTGAAAATGGAGGAGTTTTCATTTATGTCAAACCGACTGCCTAAAAAGGACACAATAGGAAAGAGGTGGGGTTAGTTAGAAGTTGCCAGCAGTCCCTTGGCAGCTCTCTGTGTCCTTTTTATTTACAGCTTTGGCCGGTGTCACCAACCACCCAGCCCAGCACCTGCTCTGGCCTGCACTCCTACTTCTGTCACTCAGAATATTCTCCTCTCTTTCATGAGCCTCCGACTCTAAACATGCCGGCATGGTCACCAACAAAACCATATTTATGATCTTGTAAAAATACAAAGGCAGCAAAACCGCTTCAGCCAAACATTTCCTGACAATCACAACGAGACGTCTACATCTAGGTATGGATCCAGGCACTGTAAGTTTAAAGAGCACACATAAAAAACATTAAAGTTGCGTTGCTCTCACTGTTTACTGCTGGGACGGCTGTGGTCGTCTGCTGCCTGCGATCTTGCTTCGGTTTGGCTGTGACCAGAGTGAATGGCTTCAAGATGGACTCCTTGTCTCCTTGTTTGAGGTTCATGGGTTTATCTGAGGACATAAAGAGGAGGAAGAGGAGGAGGAGAAGAGATCAGTTCTTCTCCCTCGTCATTTGATTCGCAGTCATACACAGTTGTGATCCATCTGCTCTGGCCATCCTCACTAAGCAACCCAGTGGCCTCTTCCTGGCTGCCGAGAGATCCGAGATTGCTTGTTGAATAATGTCTCTTGTGCAGTTTTAAAAGGATTTAGTTCTGCAGGAATTCACCCTCCTAAACCAAGGTTGGCCAGATGTCCTAAGTCAAATACAAACACTCCATTACTTGATGTGTGCGCCCCAGTGCCAAACGATTGGCTAAGATAAACCATGACCAAAGATAAACCATGACACTTAGAGAAATGTTACTTTGTGCATTAGCAAATACTTCACACTTCTTTGAAAGCTATCTGGAACTCTCCAAGTGTTTCTTTTTCTGCAGTACAGTTGACTATAAAAAACCTTTTGACCAATATCCTGTGGGGAAAAAAAGGGATTTGAAGTTGATTAGGTGATGAAGGTTTTTTTCACAAGATTTATTCTGACTTAATCCTTTCAGAGAGCTAAAGAGCATGTAGAATCCCTTGCGGATGATACCTGGAATTTTTTAGTTAATGTTTTTTCTAATATAAATTTACTGAATGCTCTCAAAGAAGTAACAATTTCCTCAACTTCACATTACATAATTGTAATTTTAGGACATGTCACCACACCAAAATGAAAAAGACATGCTAACTGTAAGTATTTCTGTTTCACCAACTTAATTTGGATGGTAAAATGAGCTATTTCCACCAACTTTAAGTCACTTCATGACTCCCAACCTGATAGTAAATGGATTTAGTCACAACAGTTTCAGAATTTCAAACTGTTTAGTACAATTTATCAACCAAGTCTGCTGTACATGCAGTCTGCGGCATCAGTGCTGAGATAATCCACCACTGTTGGTCTCACCATGATTATTTGGTTTCCCCACCAGGTTGGGTCTCTTGTTGCCTGGAACAGGGTTGCGCAGAACTGCTGTAAATTGTGGGAAACAAGAGTCTCTTTCAGGTGAAATTCACAAACAAAACAAAGAAACAGATGGCCAACACTGGAGCAAAGACACAAAGCTGAAAACAAGTGTTGTTGATTAATTTAACAGAGCAATGAAAAGGATGAAGGAATGCCAAGATGGAAGATACAAAGAGACAGAGAAGACTGGAGGTCTGCAGAAATACTGTGCGCTGGGAAATTTAAAACAAACAAAGTGCGCAAACATATTTTACAGGCGAAAATGAAGCAGCCAGGCAGACTGTATGTGAAATGCTGTAAAGTCCTTTTGTGGAGTGCTGCCACAGAGCACAACAATGTATTCTGATAAATGAAAACCAGTGCTGTTGATGAAACTATAAAACAGTCATTGAACCTCTCACCCTCTAGCGAGACGTTAAAAGTCCAATGTGAATCCAGGACACACAACTAAGGAAGCAGGTCTGACTGATGGTTTTTGACTCTGCTTTATCTGGATCTGATGCTGTTCGACTAGAAAAAAATTTCCACCGAAAACTTAAAAGCTAAAACAACCACACTTGTGAGACAAAGACCAAATGACTCTAAAGCGCTCGAATGAACACAAGGAATGAACTGGCAAAAGCAAAGTGGATGACAGATCTAAATGAAGTGAAAGGATTCATATTGAAGCAGCCACGACTACCATTGGTCAAGCTCTGATTTATTAACACAAGGGTCCTACCATGACTTAATGCTTTAAAATGAGTCAAAATGATCCCAAATTAGTCTTCTGATATCTCTGGTTCTGGAAGGCTTGACACATTATTTTTACTCTACATGTTTAATGACCACATGCTGTGGGATGGCATATTTTAAGAATTCATGTTTGTTTCCAGTGCATAAACTCCTCTTACAAATTGTAATCTAATTTCATGGATATATATTGGAGGTCCTTGTGTTGACAAAATATATCAGCTGTCCGTGCTTTGAGGTCATAACACATTTTACCTGGACCCTTTCCCCCTTTTTTCTTTTCCTGGGGCTGCCTCCTCCAAACACACACACACATGCCCACCCTCCGTCATCCTAAATCAGAAATCTCTGACATTTACTGCCAAGATAAAACAGTTTCAGGTCATCAGGACAAAAAGAGACTAGATCTGCCTGAGCATCTTCCTGATTAACACAGAGAATACAATCAAGGAGTGCCTCCAACTCACATAATTACGATCGAATTGTCGGCTAATGGAAAACATATGCGCGCATGTAAAGTCTTGCTGTATGTTGATCCAGAGATTTTAATGCCAGTCACAAGATAAACAAAGAAAAAAGGGCCAACAGCTCAGATCAGCGTTGTCGTGGCTGGCGTGGAAGAAAACGAGAACAGATGTGATGTGATGCAAATTGTGGAAATCAACAATATGCCTGTTTAGGATATGATAAGAGCTGGTAGATAGTTTCCATAGCAGGTGTGTTTATGCTAGAGTAAGATTGAAAACAGCACCAGTAACGGTCAGAGACTCATATGACTGCAGCATGTGACTATAATCATGGAAAATAGAATTCCCACTACAATATAAACCAGATACTCAAACCATTCATCCATCCATTTTCTGAACCGCTTATTCCCAAATGGGGTTGCGGGGAGACTGGAGCCTATCCCAGTAGTCAATAGGCGAGAGGCGGGGTACACCCTGGATGGTCTACCAGTCCATCCCAGGGTCACACAGAGACAATCAACCTTGCACACTCACTCCTACGGGCAATTGGGAATGTCCAATTTTCGCACGGTGGGAGGAAGCCTAAGTACCCGGAGAGAGAACCCACACAGACACAGGGAGAACTCCACGCAGAAAGGTCCTGGTTCCCCCGGGTTCCCAGAACCCTCCTGCTGTGAGGCGATGGTGCTAACAACCACACCCGAGACTCCAACCAATAGAAGTTTAAATGTTAAAAACTGGACACCAAGAACCTGCAGCAAACATAGAAAGCCTTTGCTATACCAACTCTTTTTTTCTAGCGCTGTCCATATAGGGTATAGGGTGCATGTCGTATAAACACAATATAGATCTTTTTTTTAATTTCTCTTATAGCCAATGGCTTTTGAAGCAGAGAATGAAGTGGCATTTGCAGAGGTACTAGACTACAGTTAGGGCGACAGGTTAGAAGAAAATCTTTTCTTTTTATTTGTAGAAAATATTTTGTTGGCCTATCAAATATCTAAGCAAACCTAATATATTTTGTGCTACTGCCACAAGGCATCCTTCAAATTTCCATTGATGAGATTATGATTGTCAGAAGCACGAAAAAGTTGACAAAAAAAGGCTAATTTAATCAGCGGTGAGGCAAGAGATTCAATTGAATGCAAGCAGAGCCTTTAAAAAATGTGAATGATTTAAAGGACTTAAAATAATTAACAAAACCTACTTCTACTTCCTACCTGAGGAAGCCTCTGAACACTATATTTTCAAAAATTCAAAGTCAGATTGTTAATGTAAAGTGCATTGTTGCTATTGCATATTCCAACTTAAATTAGAAATAAACATTTTCAGACACAAACAGTCACATGGCATTGCACACAAACACACAAACAGTTCATGTGTGCTTGGGTGTACAGGCTGGCAGACAAAACCAGATTTATTTTCCATAGAGCTGCTTCCAGGGAGCCTTGCGACTCCTTGAAGACCTCTGAAACTGTCCAAGTTTCCAGCAGTAACACACACCAGCTGTGACATGAGACTGAAGCACAATCTCTCCTCACAACTCTAAACAATAAGAGGTTGAGCAGATACACCATTAATACATGTGGCCCAGACGTGGTTTGTGTTAACAGCTAAGATGAATTCGTTTACTCTAATTAGCTGAGCCTGCCTGGCAGAATGGAAACTATGTGACGGACCAAAAAAGGAGCAAACCACATTCACCACTTTTAACCAGCACAATAACTTGACTTAAGACCAATCCAAACAGGTCAATTATGGGTCCTTGTCTATTCCAATCTAAGCAATATGGACAGGACAGCTTGATGTCAAAATTCTATTTTACTTTTTCTATAGCTTCAGTCTCAGTCATGTTTAGGTTATGGCGACTGAATGAATCACACAACACAGACCATGACTTGACACAAAATTACAGAGCATGAGAGCATTGTGACAAAAGCACAGATCAGTGTGGCCAGGAGCAACAGGACATCACAATGCCTCTGAGGTTATTATCTTAGCTTATCTTTACCAGGTTTGCCTTTGGACCACACCACAGGTTTAGGAAGAGCATTGCCCCTATGGTGCACCCCATTGGCTGTTGGAGGGAGAGAAAGGTCTGTTATGGCAAAAGTACCAACATCAAACAAGGGTAAAGTCAATCAAAGTGAAGTTACTTTCTTTTCTTATATATCCAGTGTCAGCAAAGCTGGAAAAAGCCAGTGTATCTATTTCTCTTTTACAGTTGCTTAATTAAACTGCCATTATGTGTTGTTGTCTTTTCCACAAGTCCTCCATGAGTTTGTAATTTTGAAAAAAAGGGGATAGAGACAGACTGAAAGGCCATGTAGGCTGCAGTGTTTGCACAGTGCTTGGTTTGACTAGGTTGGTGTAAAAATGTGGTGTATCCTGCCCAGTGCTGTGGCCAGACTTCCCACCTGGCCTGCAAGTGGGACCATAAATCATGTTAACGACTCTGACCCTGGAGACTTCTCTGCAGCCCGTGGTGAAGGTGTAAAATGTACACCAAGCACATGTGGCAGAGTGTGGAGAGCATGTGTACTGTAAGAGATGGTGAAGACGGAGAAAACAAGGAGAAATAAAGAATTTTAACAAAGAGCTAGTGGCTAGATAATTAGCCAGGACTTTGTCTCCCGTGGCTGGAGACGCGTAGCTGGGAAGGAGGAAGCTGCTTGGTAAAAGGATCAAGCATTACCGCCAGGTGTGTTGGAGCTTTGAGAGGAGGTAGGAGCCTTGGGTGGAGAGAATGGTCTGACACCAAGATTAGTGGAATGAGAAGGAGTCCTTGGGCGAGGCAAAGCGACGTTTCTTCCTGCTGTAGATGAGCTATTGGGAGAATGAGGAACTCCAGCAATGGGTGATCTGACAACGCCAGAACCTAAATGGAAAAAAAGGCAATCGAACTTTAGAGAGGCTCCAGATCTGATCTCGAACGCTCTACCTAGATGAAACAAATGATAAAGAAATCCAATGAAAGAGAATGAAAGGAATGTAGACAATAGATGAAATGACAGAGAGGCATAGAATGCGAGTCAGACTGCTGTGGTTGTGAGTCGGCAGGTGAAGTGACTGTGCTGTGCTGACAGTGGACGCACACATGGAGACAGGGACGATGACAGGGTGGGGTGTGTAGGCTGGCAGGATGGTGATGGAAATGGGAAAGAACTGTGTTCCATGTGGCTCGGAGAAGAAGCAGAGATGGTGATGGGACAAACTTGTTACAGTGACTGTTTACCATGATTGTAACTACCGGCCTTCTCTGTGGCCAGGGCAGGTCTTGGTATAGGCTTGCCCTCTTCTAGTGCACTAGGAGCTGTATGAGAGAAAATTTACAAATTTACCTGGGATGGTATGGGTATTTTTTTTGTCTTTTAAAGGGGGCATAGCCTAGTCTTGCTTAAACCTTAAAGGATAGTAGGTCTCACAATGTATGCAATGGTAGAAGATAAATGTCATATCCATGGGGAAATTATTTACTGACAATTAAGGTTTTCAAAACAGAATAAAGATCATTAAAAAACATAAATTCAAATGCCCCCTTTAAAATGTAATTCAAAATATATTCAATTTAGGAATGCTGGTGGCAGAATGTAGGGTCTTTACCCGTAGGCATTGCCTTCCTTGGGGTACCCTTGTCGCGATCAGAATGGATCCTGGTCTGAGGCACAAAATGGAGCCTAGGCCGAGGTTGAGGACGGGCCCTAGATTCGGGGTGTGGCAGGAGTTCGGGTCGGAGCTGCGTCTTTGGTGGAGGTTGTGGCCGGGGTTGTAACTGAATGTTTGGCTGACGTTTCTGTGTCTTAATTCTTGGCTCTGTTGGCTGTTTTGGTTGAGGCTGTATCCTAGGACTGGCCTGCTTCTTGGGCTCAGGTTGAACTGTGTACTCAGAGTGTACCAAGACTGTCTTTGGCCTATGTGTTTGTTGGGATGAATGGGTCTGTGTTTGTGGTATCTTTTGCTGATGTTGTGTTTGAGTTTGTGGCTTAATTGGAGATTGAGTATGTGGTTGAGGTTGGGGGCTTGAGGGAAAGCGTAGTGGTGCCCCTTGCCTATGAAATGTATACTGAGGGGTTGCCCTGGTAGTTTGAGTATGAAACATGGGTGTGGGTTGTGGAGCTGGTTGAATTGCCTTCTGTTGAAGTTGTGTTGAGGTCAAGCCTTTGTGTGTGACCTGAAGTGTTGGTTGAGGCTTTGGTTCAGATTGGAGAAGGGGTATTGTTCGAAGATGTAATTGAAAGTGTTGGTTCAACTGAAGTTGTGATGGTGAGTGAGTCTGTAGTGTGGGTTGGGATGTTGCTTGGGGTTGTGGTTTGGTGTTGTATTCTGGCTGGGATGTTGTGTGCGGTTGTGGTATACTTTTGCCATAGAGTTGTGGTGGAGGTTGTTGACTTTGGGGTTTGGCATGTGTAACTTGATATTGGTGCTGGTGGGTGGAGTTTGGTTGAGGTTGTACATGAGGATGGGGCTGAGTTTTTTTTGGTGGATGCCCTTTATTCTTTTCTAGTTTTGTCAGCGGTACTGGTACAGACGCTGCAGTTCCTGTTACTTGAGGATGGAGCTTGGTTGTCTGAGAAATATCCAGGGAAGGTGAAAAAATGGAACTGGAGAGCTCTTCTCCTCCTAGTTTTTTGAGACAGACAAAACATGGCCATGAAGCCACAATATTATAAAATGTCATTTAAATGTACCAATTTTTTTTAAGAGGATTTGATTTACAAAATAAGATAAAGCTAAATGTTTATTAGTTTTATTATTATGCTAATGGTTTAAAACAATAAGGGAACTGTATACATTTAAACCAGAAGTGCCAGCAGGTATTGACCTCATGGCAAAACTTCGACTGCACAGAAGTTTCTATTTGGAATGAATCTGATTTAGCAGGTCTAATTTCAAAGGCAGTGAGACCATATGGAGTTCTTTGCAGTGTAATAGCCGTGTTACTACACACAGATTCTGCCACGATGGCCAGAATACCTGTGATTGATGGCCATCCAAATCCATTGGCTATGCCTTTGAGAGGCTATGACACATGAGGGTTTAATAGTTACTGACTGATGGCTTGCTGGGAGATTTTAATGGACCATTATAAATTGGTTGTTCAATCTGGTCAGATGTTCACCTTATTCAGAGGATGAAAGAAAAAAGAAAGGAGGTCAGAAGATAAGAGAAGAAAGAAAACTGTAGGAGAGTAAAACAATCCAAAGACAACACAGAATTCCAGAAATTTGGTATTCTTAGTCAACTTTAGACCCACAAAATATCTAAAATGACCCCTCCTTGGTATTGTACTAAAAAAATGTGTAAGATCATCTAAAATAGAACGTACGAATGGCAAAAATTTACAAATGCAATAGCTTATGGAGCTCCCCATACACATTTATACAGAATAAGTAGGATTCTCAAAGAAACCACAATCAGTGTTATAATAATAAAACTGATGTTTAAGTGATACCTAGCTGTTTGATTATTTAATTCAAAATGAGAAAACTGAACCATAACTATATCACTATTTGAACTGAACTGAACTCTTCCAATACTCTATAGAGTGATGGATATTAAACTGACATAGTCAAATGTCTCCTGAAACTACGCCCTCAAAGAAGAAATTAATACTGACCTCACAGCAATCACATCATGGACAAATAAAAGAATATCCGATCTAATCTAAATATCTAAATATCTAATGTTAGTATATAACTTTTAGATTTATACATATGTTAATCAGGGAAAGAGGACACGGAGTACTACTAGAATGTAGCACCAACACAAAGAAAATGTCACAAGAAATATTCTGCTCAAGCTCCTGCTAGAGAGAGAGAAATATCTTCTTAAAGCATAATTGTTATGCAGAATTCAAACAATTACTTCAATTGCACTTAAAAAAAAGACCAATAATCATTAAAATGGATTTTAAAATGATCATCCAGTAAATCCTGAAAAAGAGATTACTAGATTAAAAGAAATGACAGAAAGAAGACCATTAAGAGACACAGGTGGAAGATTTCAGATGTCAATAAAGCTGTGCGATTTCAGCAATGACTGAAATTCAGTCCAATGTTTGCTAAATCCACTGTAAGGCCACAATCCTCTAAAGAACTGGTCCACAGACCCATCTAGATGAACTTATGTCAAGCCATAACCTTCAATAAAGCTGAACTTGAAAGCAACTGTGAAAACAGATGAGACTTAAGAGCATAATTGAGAATATCTACAAGCTACACATGCAGCAAAGGAAATTCAATTTGCCTGAATAACAATAAAGTTGGTCTGGTCGGTCTACCAAACATTCTCAGAACATTTTATACTTGATCAAGTAGCAATTAAGTAAAAAGGAGTGGAAATCCTCAAAACTACTCTATGAAAGTCAAACACCTATATGAATAGAAACAGCAGAACTAAAAAGCTATGACATATTTTAGAAAAGATCCAGGATTGTCTTTTTACCGATTGGCTGCTTTTTGATGAACCCGGGCAATCTAGGTGGGGGGGTAGGTGGGAATTCCTGTTTTGCAGCTGTTCTTGGAGCTGAGAAATAGAGTGGAAGTTAGTAGACCTGAGAAAAAAAGTATCCCTTTAAGGCCTGTATGAAAAACAAACAATATGTTAATATTCCTGACAGGATAGAATTGTCAGATATGAAGTCCAGAGTTTTTTCTTTTTTTTTTCCTGATCCCTGAACTGAGTATTTGGTCAGATTAATGTTTACCAAGAGTTGTTTGTGGAACTGTATTACGGGGGAATGGCAATCTGCCCCGGGTCCAGTTTCGGGGTACTAACAAGGACAAAAAAAAAGGAAAGAAGTCAAATGTTTTGATTAATTAAGAGTCCTGGAAAAAGAAGTTATGTCATCACTGGCAATATCACATGGAACAATTTCACAACAGAAAAAAGTGTTTCATAGGAAAGTGTGTCATATGTATTTCAGTTCAGTAGTCAACACATCCAGTAACGTTGAGAAAATACAAGCGTAATTGGGGAACATAACAAAGTTGGTCTTTGAACATGTTTTGCCACTGCTCACTCTCCTATAAACGCTACACTGCATTCAACTGCTACCGCTAGAGGAAAAAAAAGTCTAATTTCAAAGCATAGAAGGGTTAGAAAAACCCTCTCCAGTTACATGTAGTGCATCCATCAGTTTTCTAGACACAATTATTCCAATTTGGTGCAATGGGATGACTACAGGCCTTTGCAGCTGTCATTGGCCTAGAGATGAGGGTGCCGGTCCATCACTGGCTTATACAGAGATGAACAAAACAAACTGCCATGCACACTCACACTCCCTCCTAATTACATCAGAGTGTTCAATTATTACTTAATAGTCTTTAGAGTAATTGGGAAAACCACAACTTCTCTTCCACTGGCTATGAAACAAGCACTTATTTTAACCTAGGAAGTTAACTTTTTGTCATTAAGTATAAGAAGAATGGGCAAAACACAAATCTACCTCCCTTGTAAGTTGACCTACCCAAACAAAATTAACTTTATTGGTAAAACTGGTTGTATTGGTCAAATGCTCATTGTTTTCCACTCATTGTCATTCATCAAATTTGAATTTGAGCATGACCAATTAAGTATCTCAGTATCAGTTGCAGAACAAGACATGAAATAGTGAATGAGCAACTTTCTACTTTGCCTAATATTTGCAATTATAAACAAACCATGTGTTTTTTCAGTTTAAAGTTAATTGCAACTTGCTCAGGGTAAGGTGTTGTTGCATCTGTATCTGCACCTTGTTCACAGTTATAACAACGTTTAACAATGGCTTTACCATAAATCACACCTTAGTTCAAATTCTTTCAGTGCTGAGTCAGTGAGCAGATCCCAAACAGACACTCTAGCAGTAATAATGTTATAGATGCACAGCGTTTAAAAAAGGCTTCTACTGTATCAGATTGGTTCAGAGGATTAAAACAAGAGTGGTGTGTCTCTATTGGCTTACCATGTTGAGGAGAATAGGGGAACGAGTGAGGACCTGGTGTTAAGGGTTTCTGAAGGTTGAAAATCAAGAAGACAAGAGGAGATGATTCTTAGTGTCTTATAACAAAAAACTTGATTGTTGATACTTATCCTCTTTTTCTATGTCAAATCACAGAAAAAGCTCTGCTCATTACTTCAGACTGGTCAGAATCTTGTTGTCTAGTTTCCCCAGGCTTCGGAGGGATTCTTTTTATGAGTTCAGTCATGTAATAGAAAGTGGGTGCCACCTTCTCCACCACTTAATGTCGCCCCTCATCCTCTGTCCTTCCAACTACTATGTCATTTGGATATTACAAAAGTCAGCTTGCAGCAGACTGCTCCCTTTGGCTGGGCTAATCCTGGCTGCACTGATGTTGTTTCCATTCAGCAGTTGGATGGAAAATTAATGAGGCAACCCTGAGAATAGCATGAGTTCACCTAAATGAGCAAAAAGAACTCCAAAGCAGCAGTGTGTGCTCCACATGCCCACCCAGCAAAAGAAGCAACCCACAGTCTGACTACTCAAAGTTTTACAGTGTAATCCCTTTTATTTAGAACTCCTTTTCGAATTAACTGTATTCTAAATTGAGATACTGTATATAAACTCTCATAATAGTAGCTTCTTTATCAACATTTTGCTGCCATAAAATAATTAATGAATGAAAATCAACAAATCTTTGTTAGTTTGTTTTTTAAAATAGTTAATACATTCATTACATACCCCAGAGTTGTGAGGTCTTTTTAAGATTTTCCTGACGACCCTCTCTGGAATTACAAAGGGAAACAAAATTTTAGGAAATAATTCTGTGGAAAAAACAGGAAGTATCACAATAGAATCAAAACCATTTCAAACACTTTCCAGTATTATTATTACCACCTGTGCGTATGAAGTAAGTAATGGGATCAGCATCCAAATGTCATCATCTCTAAAGACCTGCTTTGCACAAATTATTTGTAGTGCTAATGGCCTTTCATCAGCCATTTCCAATTTCCTTTTATTAAAATGCTTTTTATTGTTAGTTAGTTATTTTGCCTGCAAGTTTTTATGGGTTATTATTCTTATGGTTTGGTTATTCTGCTGTAAAAAGGTAAGAATGAGAAGCTGGTGCAAGTCTGAGTCCTTGTACTCCAAAACAGTCCTTGACTGTCTCTTTTATGAGTTATGGCTTCAAGTAGAAATATGGCATCAAACATAAATCAAACATACCCTCTACGCTTGGCATGCTGATGTTGTGAATGACTGGTTTGCTCCACACCCCAGTGCCATCTTTTGTATTAGGCTGAACGCCAAACTCATAGACGGTGTTAGGCTTCAGATTGTCAATGACTGTATCACTGGTTGGGCAGGTCTGGTAGTTCCACTTCCTGTTCTTCTCACGATAACGCACCATGTAGTGTCTGAGACCAAGACAGAGCAGAGAAGAAGACTGCTGTGAGAAATACAAGTAGTATTTGTTACACCTTGTGCAGAATGTGTACATATAGTATGTACCAAAAGCATAGAGACATTATCTATTATACGCCTTGCCATTAACCTAATCTTGTTTTGTTTGGCAAAAAATATGCAAACGGAGTGGACATCTTTAAATAAAAATGTACTGCTGGAAAATGGGTTGTCAAAATGTTGTAATGAGGGTTAGAAATGAACTGTAGAATAATTTTACAGTTTAAGTGGAGAAAACACAATTCTAAGTGTAGAAAATAAAAAAAACACATCCTTAAAGTGAGAACCTAAAATGCCATCCTTTAAAAAAATCTGTGATACAAAGTTTTTACAAACTGTAGACGGACCAGTTGAGGTCAGTCTAAACTGAAAACCAACAGTCATTAGTAGAGACCAAGAATATGGCTGTGCTCTTAAACTTTTTGCAACTTTGAAAATACGTATTTGGATTCATTAACAGTCCATGAACAAAACGTTGACTCACCCATCTTCTAAGCATTCATTCATGATATTGCCTTCATAGGGGGTCTTCAGCAACGTTCCCCAAGATAGGAGAACCGAGGTAGGTGTCACTGACCCAATGACCAAATGCAGCGGCTTCTCCAGTTCCACTTTACCTTAAAAACCAACAAATATTTCTTTGGTGTCCGACATACCTATATTCCTCACTTTTAGCTTTACTATGACATTTAAGATATACCTGTGCACTGCTTTTTGACCTCATTGGATGGAATGGGTTGGACGGCTATCAGGTATTTGGGCTCGGCATCTGAAAATACAGGGGGGGGGGGGGTTATTGTCCTCCATGCGCTAAAGAACGGACAGATCTTTTTCAGAAAATGCTGATTCGTACAAAATACAAACGGCGGTCTGTCTCACCAAACTCAGTCTCGTAGGGCTGTCCGTTGTTCTCCGGGAGCTGTATGAACTGTTTGGAGAACATGCTGCTGCCATAACCCAGGATGTAGCCCTCCAGCTTTATGTCAGAGTTGGGACGCAGAAACTTCATCACGATGGTGTCTCCCGTGGCGCTGATGCGGACTTTCATGTTCTGACGCCTCACTGAAGAGTCAGGACAGAGGCACATCAATACATATGTCCTTCAGAGTTTTCCATTAGCAAAAGTATTCATTACTGGGAGAGAAAATAAGAGCTCAGCTGAGCTTTTTTCATGAGTAAACATTCATGAGAAAATGTGTGACAATAAACAGATCATGGAAAAAAACCCAGGAACAACAACTAAAAGGTACTTTCTATGTCCATGGCTCAACAACACTTATCAACAGTGGTTTTAAAAACAAATTTGAGAAGATCATCACTTTTATTTCAGTTGTGTCCACACTACCACCTGAGCTTTGTAAGACATGACAAAAAAACAACTTTTTTTCTGTTTTCAGACATGAACTCAGCAAAGAAGCATACAGCTTGTGTTAATTATAAGAAAAGAGCATGAGATAGCCCTTACACACATTTAATGACATAATCCTTCCACTGAAAAATGTCCTGATCAGCAGCGCTTTGGCACAGATGTGTGATGATAACATGCAAAAGAGGGTGGGTCACAGTAAAACAGGAGAGATTACAAATTGGCTTGTTTTCACAGGTCAAGGCAACCGCACGAAAACCTGACATGGCCTGAGATTTTACTTAGACAAACACGCAACACAAAGCAATGCATGAACAGGAAGAATTATAAAATCAGTGGTATTAAAAGGAACAGCAATTTAACATTTCGGGTCTTTACAATCTTAAATTGAATGCCTTATTTGAAGCCTGCCATTATAAGCTCGTGTGTTTCTATTCAAAGCTGCCATTATATGTGTCAGAAGTGGCATTGCTCCTGTGCAAAAAAGAGAAAAAGATTTATGAGGAAAAAAAGTATAAGCAAAGACTGAACATGTGATGGGAATGTTTTCTTTTCATTATTAAAATTTACCAACTTGAATCAATTTGCAAGTATATTTGGAGGGCTTAATGTTCCTGTGGTCACCAACTCAATCTTATGGGAAAATGAGAACTTGCCTCATAGATTTAATCCATTGATTTATGTCCAGACAGACATTAAATAGCTCTTTCAGCTGTTTTTAGGTCCTGCTAGAACTGAAAATAACTCAACAGAGTAACAGTATTTTGCTGAACTGTCTTGGCTGTAGCGAAAAAGTTTAATGTAAAATCTAATGTAAAACTTATGCTGAATCACACAACAAATAACCAGATTTCCACGGTCAAGAATGCAAAGTTTTCTGTTTTGGGGAATTATTCTCCTCTTTGCAATGAGACTGGGATAAACATGGGACAAAGGAGACCAAGAAGATGGATTATTAACCTAAACATTGGTGGATCATTACTATATATCTATGGGGTAATGGACTTTGCTGCACCACAAAGGGACAAACAAACAAACACTGTGCAATAGATTTAATGTTTGGAAAACTGAGGCTGTTTTGTTAATTCTGTTTGTGTTCCCTTTGATTGTATGTCTTCTATTTTGTTGCAGAAATCACATATAAATATGCTGGGCCTTAAACTGCAAACTGTCGTAGTCTACAAGCCATATAACAATGCTCTCTCTTCCTGGATTGTGATTTGATCCATGCTCTCCACAGCACATGTCCTTGGCTCATATTTCAGGGCTAAATGAAATAGTGGAACTTTGCTTAAGCGATATTGCCAGAGGCTGCCAGACGCCAAAATAGACACTGACAGCGAAAGAGGGGGAAGCCCTGGATTTGAAAAACACCCTTGTGCTTTTCCAGCTATGTGTTTCCTATCAAAACCGCATTTGTTTCAATTCTCCCATCAATATTTCCGTTAAGACACTAGAGAGACTGGCTCTGAGGGAGATGGGCTCATGGCGTATGAAGCATTAGGAAACTTCTGGCAGCGCGTTTCACATCCAGTACAAGCAAACACTGGATCTTCCCCATGACAACCTGTCCACAGCATTGCCATTTGGCCCGGACACCACTTAGAGACCGTTTGGCCTTATCAGTATTTCCAAACTAAAATTAATAAAGTTTTTAGGAATGAATCCAGAGTCCTGGCAGTCAATGCTACACAAAACAAAGGAAAATAACTCACATTAGATGACCAATAAAAAAAAAAAACTGCTAAGCTGCAAAGTTTCAGCGTGAGCGTGTCCCTGTGGTTAACACTTAAAAAAAGCTAAGAGTGGAAATTATAATACATTAGTCTTTCCATTATTGTCAGAGTCTGACATAATGATAATAATCTAATGAACAAAATCAATTCCTTACTTGGAAATATGTAATATGAAGTACTGTACATCTTTTTGTTGGGACCCCTTTGGTTAAATAAGCCTGTTATATAAGAGTGAAGCTAATTCTTCACTGAACACTGGGAGTCAGCCAACAAACTTGGCATGGTTAGCGCTAAACAGTGCCACATGAAATATTTACTGTAGTCATCCTAATTTGGATTCATACTAGATGGATGAAACCCTGCTGGCAAGAAAAAGAGAAATACCATCTAACAGAAAACATGATCCCGGCTTTGTAAAGCGGCTACCTCGAATAATCAGCAGATGAATGATCCTCCTCAAAAAGCTGCAGGTTAACGAGGTTGTCAGTTCAACTGCGTTTATGTTCAGCTGTAGTGAAATATGTTTATATATTTTTTGGCATTTGAAAATCAATTTTAAATCCCAGCAAACCTTCTGGCTTTGGAGCGTCTTGATTTACTGACACGGGTTTCCACCAGTGGCAGTTTTCTCATTCTCGTCTGTCTCTCTGTTCCACTGGCTCATATAAAGGGGGCTGCGTTGAAATGGATGCTTTAAAAAAATATATACCGATTGATTTCTGAACACAACTTTTTTTAACAAAGCTAAAAAAAAAATGTGCTGCTGATCAAACGATTTAAAATGACTCAAATTTCAAAGGAGCATTTATACGGCTGCAGCATTTTAGCTGCAGGGGACACCCGTACTGTAACTCCTTAGTGAGGTCTGTGGGTGATTTAATTCAGCTCTGGTGTGCAGTTTTCTTTCTTCTCAGCTTACAATCCTGGAAGTGAGGAGGTGGGGCGGATACTTGGCCTCCCCTCACTCTGGACACAGATGTTTTATGGTGCTATTTGGTACAACAGTCACCTTCATCTGAAGGCAACGAAGCGTAAAAAATCTCAGTGCTTCGCAGAAGGTAATGCTCGAAATGCAGCAGCTGATGATCTAACAATGGACAAATTGACCTGTACAGGCCATCATGGGAGTAATGTCAGATCTGTGTAAAAGCTTAGATAGTATCTCCCGTAACTCAGCTGGAGTGTCGGATGAATTCCTCCTCTGGAACAATCACATCCTTGGGGCTCACCACAGGCTTCGTCTTGCAGCCTGGCAGCAGAATTTGGATTGCACTTCCATATTTTAAACCATAAACTTTGTCCGCGTCCGTGCAGGTCTGTCCTCTTTCACACCACATCACATCCCCCCCTGTCAGACTCAATTGCATGAACATCTGTTTTCATGCTTTATTGCTCTCAAATTAATCTGTAGATGACACGAGGCCATGTTTAGTCTAACACAGCTGTACTTGGTGGGCCATATGTTTCCATCTGGTGAGGAAGTGGCGGATCGTTTCTTGTTTTACAACCAATTAATTAACATACAAATGGCAATTATGGTCCAAAGCACAAACATAATAACTAAAGCCTTGGGAGTACACTGAAACGTGACATTTTTCAGAATACTGCAAAAACAACAGATTTTTAACCCTACTGCAAAAACACGGAAAAAAACATGATCATGCAACTGCAAAAGTTGAACACCAAGAGTTGTATGGAAGCCAACTTCAGCCTCCACTGGAGGCAGGTATTTGCGCCACATAACTTAGAATAACTTTTATGACCAACGGACTCTGCAAAAGGGCACAAAAGTTTAACTTACAAAATGGCTGTGAAGCAAAGAGTCAGAAATGGAAAGCAGGTCTCAGTGTGTATTCATTTGTGTGAAATTACACACTACAGTCGTGGGACAATGAGACAATATGGAAAACATTTGTGGAAACTTTTCTGCTCTCCAAGAATGTTGCAAGCATCATAATCATACAGAGGAGGTTCAATAAGCTGTAAACTACTTCTTAAAGAGCGTGTGTTTTATGGTTTCCTCTGTTGGAAAAGAAAACTGCATCAGGGGTAATGAGCTCTGGACCTCCAATACCCGTCATCTTCAAACTGCCCAAATCCACACTGCAACTTCAAGTAACTTCACAGATGTTAATCTAAAGAAACAGCAGAAACTTTAACCGTTTATGTGGAGTTTCTGGCCATTTTTCCTCACTGATGACTGACATTTGTTTAACTACGATTAATTAAGAATATATACATGTGAGCTGTTTTGAGAAGAAAAGAAAAGAAATATATATATATATATACATATAAATACATATTCTAAAAGATCCCTTGCCTGAGGCAGTGTGTAAAAGCAATAAGCAACTGTTCAAATTCTTTAGATCTCCTGCTAGATGGGAAAACTTCCAGGAAACCCACCCAATCAGGTTGTCTTACAAGTTTAACCTTTGGCCCCCAACTTGGAAGAACTTTCTTTAAACCCTTCGAGAAATGGCTGACCTTTTTCTGTTCACCTCATTTCAGGGAAACGTGCGTAAAGCACAGGCATATTAAAAAAAAAAAAACGTTTTAGATATTCAAAGTGACTGCCTGGTGACTTTCAGGAAGCTGTTCATCTCCTTCAGTATCATTTTACAGACTCAAGAGTGGTTGATCCAACTAATTGATACGTTAAGTTGTTTTGTTTGGGGCAAGCTAATGAAAATACTCATGCAGAATGAATAACTTATTAACAACTAGAACTCAAACACTAACACATATCGAATTCCTACAATACAACTACATGTTAGGCTTCTTGGTAAAGAAACTTGAGTAAGATCCAATATAAGATCCGTAGTTGGGACCAGCGCTGCTTTCATGGTGTCCCCAGTGTCACCACACTTGTTTACAATTCAGTAGTTAGCAGTTTTTTTACTTGGAGAGGGGAGGTGTGATAAGTCTGCATCTATTGGAAGGAAGGCGTCACATGGTAGTGAACATTTTCTAAGCGAGAAAACTGAGCTCAGATTGTTTATCTTAATTTGGCTAATTCTTTTGGGATTTGGGACTTTTCAGAAGCTTTTCTAACCTATGAGAAAAGTCTATGACACTTTCACAACAGTACACTTACATTAAAAGCGTCCTTACTCTTCTTTGCTTCCCTCATTGTGTTACACTGCCTTTCCAAACCTATCTCAGCTTGGATTTTTGCCTGAAGGCAGTTCAAGACCGTGAGGTCACCGGTCTGTCGAACACACAGTCACTGTGCACAAACGAGGTGATGAGTGATAGATGAGCACATGCAGCACGTGGCTCTGGACCGCCGGTTGACCGTCTCGGTTGCACATTTCAACCCACCTCTGCTCCTGTGGAGAGTCGGGGGACCGCAAACGACCGTCCCGGCGAGGAAAGCCAGGAGGAGAGCCACCGAATGGCTGCACGGGTGCTGCTGCATCCTCATCAGGGTCAGGTGTGTCGGCTTGCCGTTGAATCTCGGTGAGCTGGGAACGGGCGGCGGGTCACTGAGGCGAGCGGGGTCTTTTGCGTGCTGCAGAAATGAGAGTGGACGCTTCCCGAGTGGCTGAACCTCTCTGAGCTCTTGGCTCTCGGGACTGTTGCAGCTCACTGGACTGGACTTGTGGATGCTGGAGGCTGCTCCCGCTCCATCTATACCTCCATAGCGGAGGGGAGGGGACAGAAAGGAGCAGGTCACACCCACTTTCCTGAAGCCCAACAAGTCTGCTTTTCTCTCAGTCCCTTTCTCCGTCTCGCCATACATTTTGAGAAAAAAGAGGGGCTGGCTTTTTTCCAAGATTTCTTCTCTCCTTTTTTTTTGGTCTTTCCCTCTTTTTGTGCTCATTGTAGTGTGTCCAAAACATTTAACGTTTCCCAATGCTTTTGTTTCTCTTCATGTCCTTTTTTTTCGTTTCACACTGAGTTTGTTTCCATGCCCTCAAAGACAGAGCTAATAAGTGTGGCATTGTGTTAACTGGAAATGGAGTAATCTGGCTGTTCACATTTCCAAATGTAATTTTATCCTGTTTTCTATTTTTGTTTGGGTATAGGGCCAAGGTTTTCTTCTCTCAATACTGCTAACACTTGCCCAACATATTTCATAGACCCTTGCTGCTTGAAAGTTATGGAGATTTAATGATTTTCCTTGTAGAGGCAAAAGAATTGAAAGACCTGAAAACAGCCATCTGTCCTATCATAGTCTTTTTACATTCAAAAATTGTTTTCTGGGAAAAAGGAACCACAGCAATTTATTTTGTCCAACAAGAAAACTCAACTTTAAGTCATACAATCAGATGAATGCCTAAAACTTACTGGCTAAGATTATTGGAGGTTTGAGAGGGGAGGTGAGGTTTGTGAACTCCTCTTTAAGGTAGGAGCCAAGTAACTGTCAGTTTAGTTTAGTTTAGTTGTTTTTACTTTTAAGTAATCATATTTGGAAAATGGATTGCAGCATTGTCCAACACGGAGAAAAAGCATGTAAGAACTTCCTCCTTCATTTGTCTGGTGCAAGAGCGCTCTCATTTTATATTCATTTACTCTTAGTACTAATAACATCTTTCATAATATTTGATGCATAAATATTTTCATCATATTTTTTCCTTTCTTTTTTTTAATCTTGTGATCTTTTCTAGGAAAATCTCAATTGGTGGGCCCAGTCACATCACGGAGTCCCATGAATTTATTAAAATAAAATAAATCCTTCTTTGGAAGGATATAATACATCATCTTGGGTTATTCTAAAACACATTGCAAACTTTTCAAAGTGTAAGTAGGTGCTCCAAGAGTTAAAATGCAAGTTTCGTAATAACATTGAGGATGATGGTGATTTAAGATTTCAGGATGCCCCAGCTGTCACTTCACTGTCTCACCTCCATGTGCTTGTTTCCTTCTGTAAGACAAACTTAAAAAAATACTAGTAATGAACAATATCAATGTGATTCTGACTGAAGTTCACCAGTGAATGAACATGCTGGATTTAGCTAAAAATGCAGCGTACATCCAAAAAAGCTGTGTGTGCGGAGTACATCTGGCTCATTATTCCATGGAAACATTGTCTCACATCATGCTATCTATAAATATATTCTTTGCCAATGTCCACAAAGCAAATCAAAATCTCATGCACCACAGACCAGCTGATAAAAGAAAATGCCTTTTGTGACCATGTGTCTCACATTCACACGGGGTTTTCTGGTGCATCACAAGCACAAGATGACAGTGTTACATAACGGGCCTCTTTGTAGTCCAACTCAAAATATCAAAATATCATAATATATCATCATTTACAGCCGCTGTGTCCAGCTCTTGCATCTGTTTATGCGCATATGTGAGTGTTTCTGGGAGCCAACTTTAATCCGGTACTGCCAAGAATCCCGGTTAGGCCGGCCTCACAGATGTAAAGTGTGCAAGTTTTGGATCACACATGTCTGCCTGCACGTGCATGTATACCAGTGTTATTTTAATACCTCCACCCTTCGATGCAGCGCCCCACATGTCATCACACGAGACAGGAAATGATGACGCTCGCCAAAGTAGGTGTGGCCTCCGAGGAAGTCCCTGAACGGAGAGAGACGTGGTGGAACTCCGGCCCTCATCATGCCAGAAGCCATGAATCACAGCCTGCTCGTGGTGAAAACTATTTTTAAAAACGGTTTTGCGCGACTTGTTTGAGTGATTTTTTCTGACTGGATTTGTTTTGTCGATGAAGTCCCAATTTCTCGGGGACGCGGGGAAACATGGCAGGTTTTAAATTTTTCTGAGGAAAGATGTTTGTTATTTTAACGTCAGTCCGCTTTGCTGCTTAACCCAAATTAATGTGTTACCACATGAATCTCTGTGACTTTGAGATAACATATTCATGTATCTAAAAGATTTATTGGAAAATTAAAGAAGTAATAACACGTGGTTCTTTGCCTATAGACAGATTTTTTTTAAAACATGAGAAACTTTAACATCTGTTTTCAATAGGCCTTGAAAATCTTGAATAAACGTAACATATATCACCCAAGGCCTGGAGGGAGTTTTGGTCAGAGCCTGTGACATCACCTGTTGTCAAGTTGTCTGACCCTGGATGATTGGATGAAGGAAGCCATGCAGGTTATTTAATTGTTATGGATTGTGGGGTATGCCCCAATGCTAGAATATGATCATTTGTACTATAAGGCAAGCAGACTCCCACTTAAACCTGTTAATCATTTTAAAATTACATGTCCTGCATTGAAACGTTTCTTTTGACTCAAATCTTTCTCCTACATCAACACACTTTTGAAAAATACCGTAGGAAATAATCAAGAAGAAGAGTAACGGTAGAGTACAGATGCTGTCCTCTTTGCAGTTTTACATTTAAACTTGTTTTTTTTCATATTTGTATGAAATCTTCTAAAATATTATTCTTTGTGGAATCAATCTGCATTTGGCCTGTGAGTGAAAGGCTAAAATACACAGAAACATCATCTTGAAAAGTAAGCATGTACAAGTGGACAAGGCATCAGAGGGAATGTTCTTTGAAGACTTCGTATTGGCAGACCTTCAAGTTTCTGGCATGCTTCTATAGCCAGATGATCTATCATTCAGATAAACAAAGTGACTGCTTTTGTCTGTTAAAACGATTAAAGTCCCACATACTATCAAGCAGATGCCTGATGATCCGATCGAAACATTGTTTCCCAATGAACTCCATGGTAGAGTATTTCATCCTCTTCTGTCACACTCATCACCTGGTTCCATTCTACAAGCACAAGATAGGTTTTGATTTATTATATATGTCTAACTCTGCAGTGGTAGGTGGTGATATGTCCCTTTAAAGCCTGGTACTACAAGGCTTTTTTCAGTTAACTTATAATTTGTCAAAGCCAGGGATAAATTAGATTTCTGTTCATGGGAATATACAAAGCCATGAGCTGGACACCAAGAACAGAGCAGTACAGTCATTTGAATTTGGTACACAGAAAAAAATCACGTCAACGTAACATTGCTGAAAGGCTAATCCGATTGATTTGTCTCAGAGACCAGCGTTATGCCAACATTTCATTTCATATATCAGGATGAAAGCCGAAGAAATTGAAAGAGTTTCAGTGGGTTTACAAGAGCCCTGTGATTCTAAATAATCCAATTCACTTTGTGCTGGTTTCATAATCCAGCAACGCACATTTCAGTTCCTCATGGCTTCCATCAGCACCACACTTGTCCAGTTATTTGCCAAGTAGTAAAACTTAAAGACAATTGAGATTATTTTATCGCTTTTCAGGCCCCCTCGATGTGTTGTCAAGCTGTTTTTAGCTTGATGTGTTCTCTAGCTGGAGCCCTTTTAATGCTCACTCTGGACGTTTGTATCTTCTTCGTTTTACATTGAATATGGATTCATTTTTTCTCTTCCCTATGTTTTGTGACATTGCCCCAAGCTTAAAATTTTCAGGCAAGCTGTCGTCTTTTCTGCTTTTGTCATCACATATTTGCTCTTCCTTTTCTTCATTTTATAACAGTGTGACACATCATCATCCAGACCTGCCAACATGTGCCACGCAGCGACAAATTATTAGCCTTAGATACAAAGAAACGACTCAGCAGTACAGACGTACATATCAGGTTTTGCATACTATGTCAATTTCCATAGTGGTGATATTGGCCACTATGTCCCACTATGCTCAGCCGGAAAAACACTTACTCAAGCCCTCACCAAATCGTTCCCAGTATGAAACTGACATGTTAAAACTTCTTTTTTTTGCATCCTCTTTGGGCTCTAGTCAGTACACATGATTGGAAAATGTTTGCACCCGGGGCCAAAAGCAGAAGGTCTTTCAGAGCGCAGTCTGGTGTGTGCAAGTTTTCCTGAGTGGGACTGGTTGTGATTAGTAGTAAAGGAGGGAAAAAAAAGACAAGAATTTTGACTTTTTTTCCACTCGCTTTTTCCAACCTGTTGATGCCATAAAGTGAATGGCTTATTGAGTTATGGACTTCCATACCAGGTCAGTCCAGTTCAGGGATGAAAATGTTGCAGATATAAAAAGACAGTTCTTCATGCCACACCACAGTAATCAGACTTCCTTGTCAATTCCAGCTGCATAATATGACCTCAAAACTGATGGATTTATTGAAATTCTGACGTCGATCCAGTTTTTTTTTAAATTTATTATGCGACTGTTGGAATGTGTGTCAATGCATTAGGTTTGGCCTCCCTGCAGGATGAACGGGTTCTTTATTCGGCTGCAAAGTGGAAAATGTGATGTATGGAAGAATTTTTCCAAATATTCCAACACGCACTTTCTATTTTATCTGTATATCATATCATCCTGGTGCTCATGGCTCTGTTGTTACCGATATCAATATTAGGACATAAATTTGAAAATCTCAGCAGTACCTGGATCCACCCTGAGTATGACTTCATGCTGAATGCTGTAACAGTGGACATGCCTCTTACTCCAAAACTGCACAAAGTTACGGCTCTGCTGTCTGCCTCCGATGCACCGAACAGTTGAACAGCATACTGTATGTGCATCTTTCCACATCTGCTGAAGATGCCTCAGAAACCGTCAGAGACCTAAAAGGCTCTCTTTGATCGGTATGTTCAAAATCTTCCCATGTTTACAGTAATTTGCCTGTGAAATGAGACCTTCTACCACATTGCGAAGACATTTGAGAGACAGGGGAGCGTTGCTGCCAGCTGCCATGTGGCAATCTGGGAAGACTTGCCTCTGGAAAGCTTTGGGAGACAGCAATGATGTGGGTGATCAAGCGGGGGAGATTTGATAGGACTATAGCACAGAGAAA